AATATTACAAATATTATAAATATTATTGTCGATGCACCGGGTCTCGGTCCGTTTGGAGTTCACTCGATTCCCTAGTTGTTATATAGGAGACGCTTACTTACAATATCGATGCACCGGGTCTCGGTCCGTTTGTAGTTCACTCGAATCACTAGTTGTTATATAGGAGACGCTAACTCACCCTGTCGATGCACCGGATCTCGGTCCGTTTGGAGTTCACTGATTCCCTAGTTGTTATATAGGAGATCGAAATATGAAGATGTGGTATGAGTGCCAATGAGTAACTCTCCATCCAAGACGCTTACTTATCCGGTCGATGCTCCCGGGTCTCGGTCCGTTTGGAGTTCACTCGATTCCCTAGTTGTTATATAGGTCATTTTACACAAAACAAATAGTTTTTGGTAATTGACAATAATACTTTATAAATTTCGTGCGTCCTATGACTGGATATACTTTCATCCGAAACGCCCACACCTAAGCATTTGAAGCCTAGGGATATAAAAACAGTAGGAACGTTATGTAAACAAAAACAAATATGATATACAGCAACAAATGAAAACCATTAAATTACAGGCTGACAATTACAGAAATCATCCCGACGAATTTTAAGGTGTAGGTGGTCGTTTTTCAAGATCACTGTAGAAACTGATACGACTCCTGTTTAAGTGAGTACTGTTAGTTTCCCCAGAAAATATCTCAAAAAAGGAACCGACATATTCTTTCATCAACTGTTAAATTATTGTTTTACGGATCACAATTTATGTTTCTAGAAACTGAGAACACCTCATTGACATTTAACATTCAAAGTACGTGGCTGTAACATGATTGTTATAACTAATGAGTTGTCAAGTGCTCTATTGTCTTGCATTTAAAGGTCACAGATAAATTATTTTGATATACAGAAGAAATCTATCATTATAACGAGAGCAACAGAAACTCGATTTCCCTTTCTATCTTTTAATTAAGGTCAATTGACTCGTTACGAATAAGGACAAGTTTGATGAATTATCTCAGTTGAAAATTAAAGTAAGCAAAACATTAATTGTTGATGACACAGTTTTCATCCCCCCTGTGTATACGGTATGACTACGTTTTTGACTACCATAAAACATTGGACTTAAACATTCGACATGACTAGCGATCATAATATAGAGATTTATTGAGGAAGTAGGATTCTATTCTATACCTGAAGGAATCCTTTTATCAGTGCAAATACGACGTCACCTGATTGATCCCTCAAGGTTGTCATGGAAAAGGAGTTCCTGGAATTCTGAAATATTTTTTTCCACTTGAAGAAATAATACAGTATTTATTCCGACGTAATAAAGGGTATAACATACTTAAAGCATTGTAAATAGAAAAGTTTTCAAATAATATTTCTTTAAGGAGGAACCATTATACGTTGACAAGCTAACCAGAGACGGATGGTGGATTTTAAAAATGGGGACTTAATTCCAGAAAACGTAATAGATATGAAAAAAAATTTGGAAAATGTTTTGACAAAAAATCAATCGTGAGAAACATTAGAAAAAAATGGCGACCAATGGGGAGGTGTACACCTTCTACGGCCTATCCTGGATCCGCCACTGAGTTACCGTTGGATAAGATTATTGCCAGGTGAGGGATACGTTTTCCAGGAGTCTCCAGTTTCATCGCAGCGTGCATATGAAGGCACACCACCAAATGAAGTACAAAGGTCTTTCAAATCAATTGAACTGACACCGAACGATTAATTAAGAACCTTATTTACCTAATTACAACTGCGTTCAATAGATTTGATCTTTTTCTCTTAAAGTACGAGTCATTTAATTGGAAAAGCACTGTTAAGGTAAAATCAATTCTGGCGCTCAGTCATTTGAAAACACACAATGTACATTTCCGTGGTGCAATATTAACCGGAAGCTTCTCTCATGATTCTTATCAGTAGGGATTCCAATATCGGATTTATGTAATAATTTCCTCCTCGATTTTATTGTGAAGTTTTTAAGTGCAAGCAGTCTTATACCTATAGTTTCGATGTATTTAACGTTATTTTACGATCTCTAGTTCATATCTCGTTACTTACTTTAACACAAAATAGTTTAACGTACTAGCACCTCGTATACTGTTAAGATAAACTGGTACCTCTGGTTTTATTAGTTTTCTAGATGTTCATTAAAGGAAAAAACGACAATTCGTCGGACTTCTCTTGGACTGAATTTTAATGTGCGTATTGTTATGCGTTTACTTTTCTACATTGGCTAGAGGTATAGGGGGGGGGGGGGGTTGAGATCTCATAAACATGTTTAACCCCGCCGCATTTTTGCGCCTGTCCCAAGTCAGGAGCCTCTAGCCTTTGTTAGTCTTGTATTATTTTTAATTTTAGTTTCTTGTGTACAATTTGGAGTTTAGTATGGCGTTCATTATCACTGAACTAGTATATATATTTGTTTAGGGGCCAGCTGAAGGACGCCTCCGGGTGCGGGAATTTCTCGCTGCATTGAAGACCTGTTGGTGACCTTCTGCTGTTGTCTGTTCTATGGTCGGGTTGTTGTCTCTTTGACACATTCCCAATTTCCATTCTCAATTTTATCATTTGTTGGTCAGTAGTTTTGTTTCCCGTATTCATTTCTTTAGACATTTTTGTTAAATTAAAGGAAATTTCATAACAACTAAGAAGTATGAAAATAAATGTCTCAATTTTGCAATCGTTTTGAAGTGACATAAAATGAAGCACAGTTACATTTAATTGGTTTGTCTTGTGAAAAAATGTAAATGTAATTTTATATAATATGCATCATTCAGGAACTCATCGGTATCCCAATGACGTCAGGAGCGGAATAAGCGGAGGTGTTTGACCCATCATGGACAAGATATTGGCAAAAACGTCAGGTTTAAAAAAATATTTGGTGACCAATTTAGCCTAGGGTCTTAGCTTCATAATTTCCATGTCTATTTTTTGATTAAAACTAATTCCTACCTATTAATAATTGCTATTCTTTATCATACGAGATTTTAATATCGACTGGATATAATAATCTTTTATATATATAACGGGTTCGGTAATCAGTTCGTCAACACTTACATAATTTGAAAGGATAAATCATTCCAGCTGTTGCATATTCAAAATGTCTATAGGTGTATTTGGGTTTCTGGGTCCGTTGGTTTGCTTTCGCATTGATTTATCAGCCATGCTTAATTGGCACTGAATCAGCGTTTATGTATTACAGTCGTAAATCTAGATTTCATTTGTCTAACTCAAGGAAATGCCCTCTATTCCGTCATTGGCGAATTGTTTGCGTTCGGTATACTTAGTTGCAAAAAGGTTGCATGTAGATTTTTCATTAATTATTTTGTGGTCCACTAAAAATATTATTATTCTAGAATTTTTAGCTAATTTCGGTCCACTGTCGTCCTTTGTTTCAGTAGAGATTTTATTTTATCGACCAATAAGCTTTACAACTTATTGAGTCTTAAAATGCATTCCTCTTTCTTCATGCAGTCAAATTTTGCATCTACTCCGCTTTCAATATCCCAAGTCACGTCAGCATAGGTTATAAAAATCTCACGCGATTTCACTTAAAAGTGTATCCGGAATTAGTTAAGAAATCGATTAGCAGCAGTGGATCACGTTTGACCTACATACTTTTTTTTTTATCAAAGCTTGGCTTCTAAACTATATTTTAATTATTTGATTGATTTTGATAAAGTGCAATGAATTCAACTTAGCTGGAAAGTTATTTAAAAATATATCTTTCGTCACTACATTGTAATTTTTTAATGCTTGTATAATGTGAGCATGTGGTTAATATAGTTGACGCTTTTAATATTTCGATTCATTGTTTATATGAACCACAAAGTGGTTACGTTTTTATTTCAGTGGTTATATACATTGCTATATTTCATTATATTAATAGTAAGCATTTTAAATGTTTATCATTTATGAATCAGAATATAAGTTCTGTATACGATAATGAGACAGCAACCCAACACACAAGGCCCCATAAATCCAAAATGCATTAAGAGGTCAACATACGCTCTTCAGCAATAGATCAGTATGTTTACAATTAGTTTGCTTTAAATCAGAGTACAGAAAACAAATATTCATACATAGACAATCAACGATCTGTCATCAATTCCAGTTCCCTTAAAGACAGAATCTTAAGATATAACCAAGAAAACCACTGACAAGGTCCAGTCCTGGGACTGACACGTGAACAGATGGAGGGTTTTAACTAGATTTTGAGCACCTAAATCGTCCATCAATTAGTTGAATAACAAAACATGCATGTAAAAACGCAAAAACAAAATCAGTTTAGAAAAAAAACCACTTAACTGTACGTCAAAAACAAGGGTACTAGGGTAACAATATGAAATAAAGCCATGGTTTCCTTCATGTGATCAAAATCTCTATTAACTAACATTTGAGCTCGATCTTTTGTGTATTTTCGCGACTTGATTGTTCTCTTCCGTCCATTTGTGAGTACCCCAAACATTAATCTGTATTGCTTCTAGTACAAGTAAATAGTTCCGTTCTTGCTTTGACACATTTTGTTCATTTCAATATCCGACAATTTATACAGAATTCCTACGTCACAGAATACCGTTGTTGTAATCAGTCTAATTTGTATGATCTCTTAATTCTCAATAAAATCAGTATTGGTTTTCTCTTGCATGATTGATATAATGCATATCTAATATGATCAATCAGAAACTGAATGAATCTTTATTTGCTGTTTGTGTGTGGGTGTTAGTTTAATGCCATCACAACTTTACTTTCAACGCTGAACCAGTCATTGTTATGTCGAGGGCAGCTGATGACGTATCGTTTGCTTCAGAATATCGATCGATCCATAAATATCGATATTTGTATATTTTATCTGGAAAATACTTGAGGAATCATCAAATTCTATTATGAATTTTGTGTAATGCCGGCATAATGCATTTGAATGTGTGTTGTAAAATAGATCAGCCATGTTTGTTTTAGTTGACACGGTGACGGCATATGTTTTTGTATATTCTAGGAAATGATCAACATCATAAATGGTTAATACGACATGCGACAGTCGACACTTGTTCCTGGCCAATCGGTGAGTATTTTAGACATATTGAACCAAATATATATGAATGCGAATAATATTTCATAATTTGATATAAGTTTATACATTTTTAGATATTTGTATTTCTATTCATCGATGTTTAATTCAGTCCAGACAGAAAGGGAGACAATTAGAGTATGTCCTGCTAGAACAATCTTTACGATCTGGATAGGGTTTACGCAATAGAGAATAATGGAAAAAAAATAATGAATAGAGAAAAATAAACGAAACAAAAATTTGAACAGAGAATATTTGGGTGCAAAAGAATAAAAAATAAAAAATAACCGTGGAAATCAAAAGAATTAAGCATTACAATATTAATTACATAAATGAATGATGTACAGAATAAGAAAAAAATCATAGAATCACAGAAAAAAATAGTAGTAATATAATTGTCATTAAAATTTTACAAAATAAGCGTTATTAAAGATAAAGAAAAATGCCATGAAAATAAGAATACAGAAATTAAGGACCCCATTCAGACCCTCATATAAACGAGTCTGTAAATTTTTGTTAAAGTTTTTATATTACAGTTCAAACTGGCATACCCTTTCCCTTAAGTTAACGATCTTCTTCTACGTTTTTGTTGTACAAGTAACCCTTATTGAAATGTCAAAGACATATCGACACTGATTATATTTGGGTTTCGTTGTAGAGATATACTTCTGTCAAAGGACAAGTTGCCACAGAGATAACAATCGGCATCCTTGTGGCCGGGGTACTCGGTGGACTCATAATAGTAATAGCTGTAATTCTCTTTTGTAAATACTGTGTAAAGAAAAATAAAGATTTTAGAAGGTAATCTATTCATTTATACAATTTATATCACGCTGTTTCCAAACATATATATGTCTAAACAAGTGACAACTCTACGAGAGATCCATTGATTGGATCACCAGTGAAGGTGATACACGGCTGAAAACACATATTATATTCATAATTACTCTAAATATCAGCACAACAATGTTAAATCTGCAAATTTGCGGATGCAAATTTTTGTTCTTCCCTCGCCGGGATTCGAACTCATGCTATTGGAATATCGTGACAACACCGCCTGTACTGTGTCCAGCGCTCTAGACCACTCGGCCACCTAGACTGAACTAAAAAATTCAGCTTTCGGTGGCCTAGTGTTACCTTTCCTCGTCAGTAGAAACAAGAGTTGTAACACAACACATGATATATACTAGTCAACAAAAGTAACGATGCACAAGTTTGAATTCCAATTTATCATAAAATATAATAAATAGGAAAAACTTTTAAATTATTGAATGAAATACATTCATCTGCAAAGCAAATGCATATGACTAAAAGAATCTGACCAAATTGGAAAGTGAGAAAATACCGTGTTATTGAACACAGGGGTCAAATTTATTTTGCGGAAAATGATAACAAAAGTCGACACTGAATTTCGAAGATGAGAATTTAGTATTCAAATATCTGCAAAGGCATTCAAAATTTTAAGCAGACCATGTTTAAGTTTAAAGTTTTAAGTTCTAATATCGATTTTTAAATTTTTGGGTGAAAATACGATTTTTGAAATAACAAAAATTGCAACAACAAAAATTCGCATATTTGCCTTAAATCAATGGCTTTGATAAGAAAAAAAACACTCTGTAAATATTAGACCAATTGGGCAATTATTTACCTTGATACAGTGTATCCATTTTCATTATATATCGAAAATACGTTGCCTTGTATCGTTTCTTTTGTTGACTAGTATATTAGGCATGAAGATGGAATGGCATGAAGATAGCAAACAGTATAATGTCACAGGTCTGGTCTTAAAGTACAGTTAATAGTCACACAAAATCAAACAAAACATTTAATTGCATATTTAAACAAAAAGTTATCACCACGAAATGAAATAACCCACATTTATGTTTATATTGTATCAAAATCGCAGAAATACTTCCATACCATCATCTTAAAAAGGTAAGAAAACATAAGTTATGGTGTAAAAGAGAGGTGGAAGATACAAAAGTCAATAACAAACCAAACTGACAACGCCATGGCAAACAAAATGGGAAAAAACAATCAACAGTATACAAAATATACAAAACACAAAATAGAAAACTAAAGACTGAGGAACACGAATACCACCAAATGCCGGGAATGTAATATACAATGTAAATATAATTGAGAATGTAAATGGGGAACATGTCAAAGAGACAACAACCCGACCAAAGAGCAGACAACAGCCGAAGGCCACCAATGGGTCTTCAACGCAGCGAGAAAATCCCGCACCCGCAGGTGGTCCTCAGCTGGCCCCTAAATAAAATTGTGTACTAGTTCAGTGAAAATGGACGTCATGCTAAACTTAAAATGAAATTGACAAATATCTCTTCGTGCAATAAATTAATAAATGATATTATAATGATACGTTTCCTTGGTAATTTTACAGTTATATAACATTGGAGATACATGTATCTGAAATCATATTAAAACTACTATTTCTGTTAACCGTTTTCGTGATAGATAATTAAAGATGTATCAATATTTCAAACTAGGTACTATATTTAAAAAAAATAAAATCATCATTACATCTAATTAAAATGTAGTACTAGTATTATGAACGTCATATTAATCTATGGTTTTTTTTTAATTTGGTAATGTAATGGTAGACAAGATTCCTATAGTAGCCGTAGACTATCGGACAGAGACCGTAGATTTAAAACGTTACAAAGATACGAAACGATCAATTCAGATGTTTTCTCCGAACCTAGTACAGGATCTATGGATGGTGTCCCAATAAGTCCAAGAATTAATCATGAGTGAGTATGAAGACTTTATGTAAATAATGATTTAACGCTTTACATCGACTGCATGCCTTGGTGACACACGTCAGTCTGCTGATTCACCAGAAATAATCCAAATCTGTCCATTTGATAGTTGTATCGGAGCACTGCGATCAGAACGTCATAAAGCTTTGATCCTAGAGTTTGACCCCAATTGGACAGATCAGGGTATCATGATATATATATTTTTATTTTTCTATTTCATTCAAATTTAAAAGGGTTTCTGAAACCGTTTTTTCATATTTGTTTTTCGTTAGCTTTCTCGTTTGAATTGTTTTACATTTGTCATTTCGGGGCCTTTTATTGCTGACTATGCGGTATGTGTTTTGCTCAATTTTGAAGACTGTACGGTGACCTATTGTTGTTAACTTCTATAACATTTGGTCTCTGGTGGAGAGTTGTCTCATTGGCAATCATACCACATCTTCTTACTTTTATATTTAACATTTCAAAAGTAACATTTACTTTTGTCCTTTATATCTTACCACATCTTTAGCAAATATGTCAGTGAATACAATACCTACAACCTTTATATCTTACCACATCTTTAGCAAATATGTCAGTGAATACAATACCTACAACCTTTATATCTTACCACATCTCTAGCAAATATGTCAGTGAATACAATGCCTACAACCTTTATATCTTACCACATCTCTAGCAAATATGTCAGTGAATACAATGCCTACAACCTTTATATCTTACCACATCTCTAGCAAATATGTCAGTGAATACAATGCCTACAACCTTTATATCTTACCACATCTCTAGCAAATATGTCAGTGAATACAATGTCTGCAACCTTTATATCTTACCACATCTCTAGCAAATATGTCAGTGAATACAATACCTACAACCTTTATATCTTACCACATCTCTAGCAAATATGTCAGTGAATACAATGCCTACAACCTTTATATCTTACCACATCTCTAGCAAATATGTCAGTGAATACAATGCCTACAACCTTTATATCTTACCACATCTCTAGCAAATATGTCAGTGAATACAATACCTACAACCTTTATATCTTACCACATCTCTAGCAAATATGTCAGTGAATACAATGTCTACAACACAATGCTATACGAATTAAAGTTTTAAACTTTTAGTATTTAGGACATATGTCAAAGCCTAGAACAGGCTAATTTCTTTTCTTCAAAAGAATCGTATCTTTAGATTACATATGTACGATCTTTTAATTGCATTCCGAAAATAATTCTTTAGTTCAAAAAATCTGTATATATATATGAAAAGTCCTGTTTTCGATTTATCGATTTCAGGAAGTTGTAAAAAAGAAGAAATGGTCACGATATCATAAAGATCGGTTATTGTTCCTTTTATGAAAATACGGAAATATATTGTAAATGTGACAGCAAACTAACAAATATAAACCAGAAAGAAGATAAATATATAACGGTCATCATGTGGCTTCAAGCCTAACAAATATAAACCAGAAAGAAGATAAATATTTAACGGTCACCATGTGGCTTCAAGCCTAACAAATATAAACAAGAAAGAAGAAAAATATATAACGGTCACCATGTGGCTTCAAGCGATAATCATTTAAAGGCACTTAAAATTAGTCAGAAAGTTCTTGTTATTATAATTTCGTGAAATAAAAGAAACTGAAGTTTAAAGTTTAAAATATTTTGAAACATATTAATATGATATGGTTGCAATGACACAGTAATCCAATAGAATACTAGTAAATAATTAGATATTAAATATTAAATGAATAGCTTTCTATTGATATTCTTCATCTTGAAAATTATTTTTGGTGTCTCAAACTAACTTATCGATGCATGACACACACCAAAATCAAGACAGACTCTAGCGTTCACTAAAGCGTGTGTTTGTTATTGCTCGATACCACTACATATGTCTTCGAAGGAACGTACGCTGGTAAAAAAAAATCAATAAATTGCATTCCAACTGGTAACTTCTTTCTATAAATTCTATCATTCGTTATCCAACAAATGAATTAACAATCGAAACAGCTGAAATATAAGCAGATGATGACTATAGGTCATAATTTAGAATTTACTAGGTAATGCTGAAATAAGTGGAAGTAGTGTAATCTAGAAAAATCTCATGAATAAGCACTTTTTAACTAGAATTTGATCAAACACACTAAGCATGAAGGCAGCACTGTAGACGAGCAGTTCATGAAGGCAGCACTGTAGACGCGCAGTTCATGAAGGCAGCACTGTAGACGAGCAGTTCATGAAGGCAACACTGTAGACGAGCAATTCATGAAGGCAGCACTGTAGACGAGCAGTTCATGAAGGCAGCACTGTAGACGAGCAGTTCATGAAGGCAGCACTGTAGACGCGCAGTTCGCTAATGGGAAAAATTACGAGATGGGCGTACATAGGTCTTGAAAAATTATACATTGCATCTTAGTGAAAATGAAGAATGTTCAACTTATGATGACTTGAATGTGCATAATTATACTTTAAAAAAATGTAGAAAACAATTTTTGCAAATTACACTTTTTAAATGTCAATAATTCGTATACTCGATACTGGAATCTGTTAGTTTGGTTATTTTTTATTTTACTTTATCTTTATAATTATTTCATTTAAATAGGCTGGAGAGATATAGTGAAATTAACGAGGCAGACGAAACAACACAGCTCAAATCTGATTTTGATAAAGGTTGGATATTATACATTTTATATTTTAAGATAAACATTGTATTATGATATATTCAACCCATACTTATACCCGATAAGTACGAAATACTAATATTTATAAATGTTGGAACTATTGAACAAGGACAAGACACTATTATTGAAAGTTGTTTAATAATGGTTTATATAATGCTGTAAACTTAGAGGAAAATATTTAGCTGGAAGAGGAAGTACAAACTTAAGGAGGGAGAATCGAAAAAAAAAACGGACAACACCGCGCTCTAAATACGTGCAATCAACATTCAATAGTCAGCAACAATACAGAAATAAAGATAAAGCAACACACATCTCAAGATAAACCGTAGGTGAACTCATGACTTGATGTAAAAGGAGTCCCTACTCCACTCGTTGCCCCTGTTGTAAAAGAGGGACCAAAGATACCAGAGGGACAGTCAAACTCATAGATCGAAAACAAACTGACAACGCCATGGCCAAAAATAAAAAGACAAACAGACAAATAATAGTACAGATGACACAACATAGAAAACTAAAGACTAAGCAACACGAACCCCACCAAAAATTAGACTACATATGAATAGAAAAATGAGGTTTCCCAAAATTCAGCATGTTTTTAACTTCGTTTCTTCAGATAAACGCTCAGATGAAGATAACAAATAATTCAGTGGTCAAATATAATTATGAGTCAGAATTAGTGTGCATTTAGCTTGAAAAAATTATAATCTACCATTTGCTTCAAAAAAGATTTAATTTTATGTGTTAAGAATATATGTATATACAGTCCACCAATTACCTTCTAAAACTACTTTTCACTAAAAGATTCATAATTTTCTATGTTCTAGTATCTTACAAGGAAATAAAACCAAGCATTGAGACGACTAACGTACAGACAGCTGAAGAGGAACCAGAAATTAAAATAGGGAGGCGAGTATCCTTCAAATTGGATGAAAAGAAGAAGGAACGTCAGACATTACGTCAACAAGGAAGAAGGTGTGGCCAAACTGCTGACCCAGCGCAAATCAATGTTTCTAAAATTCAGCTTCACATTAATTTGATATTGAAATTCTTCGTTTATATTTTTATGATATATTCATGTTGTTTTCTTTCCTTCTGATTAAGACGTTGCTTTTACTAATCAATCTTTTATTAATTACCCTACTTTACTCCATTTTTGCATGTTTATTTCAGCAGTTTGATCATCCTCTTTACCGACGTCCCTTTTTTTCTCTCCACCCTTTTCTTGATACCCTCTTTCATAATGTAAGTATACCTTAAATTTTCTAAGATTACACAGCATGACAATAAAGAGCATGATTTATTTCACAAATTTGTCACTTACGATTTTTTTTTCAATTCAGGCATCCGCATTCGACGATGATTCTATGTAAATATTTTTTATATATATATAGAAAGTATTATACCAAAATGAAACACAGAGAGCACAAATATGTGTCATAAATTTATGTTTCAGTTATTCTAATAACTCTAAGGACTATACCTGTAAATGTACAGGTATACATAAGGACGAATTATACCATATAAACGTTTAAACAAAAATTCCAAACTCCAAGGTAAATACAAAAAGGTGAAAGTCCATAAAAACTGACAAAATCAAACAGACTATTTTAGCAACGGAATGGAAAACAACTGTCATATTCTTGACTTGGTACAGGCATTTCCGGAGAAAACTGTTTGTTAAACATGGCTTTATAGCTAGCTAAACCTCCCACTTGTATGGCAGTTGTTTATAGTTACGTTATATTGACAAAATTTGATGAGCAACCCAAATTGAAATAATTGGTAAATAGGACAATAATTGTGATTCAGCAGTTAATATATAGTCGTTATGGGGGGTTTTCAGAATGAAAATGCAAAAAAGGGACCTAAACATTATCCTAACATCTACTTAAGTTGTTTAAATTATGAAGAAATATAACAAAAATCTGTAGCAGGCTTATTAGTACATGAAGTCTATTTCTAATAATTGCCGACACACGGGAATAGTTCACATACTTGTTTGTAGTCCTTGACATATTTATGTAATACAAAAGTTTTCTTTTTTTATAAAGCAAATTCCGTATTACGGCTTAAAATATATACTGAATTTCGCATTCGAACACCAAATATTATTTTAGTTTAAGTAATTAATTTTCGTATTTATTTACAGGTATACCGAAGGTGATTTTCATCATCTTAAACGAGCAAGAATAGATAAAAATGTTCCGCGTCAGTACTCTTTAAACGTAAATTGTCAAAATTCAAATGGAAAACAATCGGAATGGAAATATCATCAGATACAACTTGAAGAATCACCAACTGAAACCGGAAATGACGTACTCCATGTATTTCCACGTGATGATGATTCGCCACCAGAAGATTCAATACAAAAGCAGGTCTCTGTCGAGATACATCGTCAACCAAACCTTTCACCCGTTAAAAGTGATCCCAACTTACAACGACATAAACCAGAAAAACGGGGTAGATCGTTGTCGCAGGTAGTTGCATTGAATAAGCAAGACAGTTGGAAGAAACGAACAAGAAGAGCAAAGAGTTTTGATCACATTTGCGATTATGACATGTTTAAAATTACAGAGTTCGAAGGACCTTTTTATAATACCGACTTCGATGTTATATCAGAACTAAGCTCCTCTGAAAGTTCAAAAGTTCGATATAACGACACAGGTAGTATTGAACAGTTAAACGAAGATCAGTTAGAACGACTGGAGATTGAAAAATTTGATATCGACATTTGTCATTTATCAGAAAGTGATGATACGGACACGTTAAACGGAAGTAGAAAATATCGAGAGTTATGGAACTTAAGGGCAACGTTTGAGGAAGAGGAGGAATGCAGTGATACTATCCGTATGGAAGACATGACATCACCAGACCAATCGCCAGAATGTGAAGTAAAAGATTCTGACTTTGAGTCTCATTCTGGTAGTTCAAAAAGACAAAAAATTGAAACATGTGAATCTGAGAATGGTTGTGGAAAGTTTCAACCTCAAAACGGCGAAAATAAAGAAAAACAAAGTTATAAAGACATATTAACAAATCGATTAAAACAGTCTGAACAAAGTGGAAGTCGAGATAACAGTTTCGACAGTATAGAGACATGTGATACGGATGAAAATGTATCAGATTTAAGTCGATTTGAACCAGTGACATCTTTTGATTCGACAACGGATAACACAGACAGTAACAATGAAACACAAAGCAACAGACTCATGCAGATGAAAGCTGATAGTGGTTATAAATCATTAGAAACTCAACATCCACCTCCACCAAATGGTGCCGTAAAACGAAATCATAGTGCGGGGGAAGTAGAGCCTTATTATATTTACGACGATGCTTTTAGGCGGTTTTCGTTGTCAAGTCAGGAGGCGGGTCCGTCTGGGGAACAATATTTATCGAGAGGTACATTTTTTGACCGACGCAATGGCAAAACTGCTTCAAAAAAGAGACGTGAATATAGTAGAGAGAGACAGATCGTTCAAATATATGAAAGCATCAATGAACCAGAATCTGATTCAAAGTCGGACCAGCCATCCGGTGACAGTTTCGAGGAAAACAAAATGCCAAATAAAAAGTCTGTTTTCTCTAGGTTTTTTAAATCCCACCGTGACAATAAAGACGGTCCCTTTTCAGCCAATAGAGACTACAGTATTGATGAACAAACAAACAAAATATTTCAAGAATTTCTTAGATACGATCCACAACTCGAACCAAAGTGTGCTTATGCTTCTTACCTACGTAGGTCATCTCGTTTTAACAAACATAGACTACACCGAAAACATACTGATTCTATGTTTATCGATGATCGCAGAAGAGATCGATTAGCACCGGAAATGAGAAGTGCTAGCTTAGGAAGTGATAGTAGTGCAAGTTCAGCTCGACGTTTGTCCCCTCAAGATAGCATAGAAGAAGAGGAAGAAGAAAGAGAGGAAGAGGAAAGATGGCTAAACCAGTTTCCTCGAGAATCTCGACAATCATTTTCTGTTCACGAAATTCCTATTATAAAACTCCCAGAAGAGGAGCACACTGCTACTGAAGCTTAAAACAAAACCAAATTCTATTCAAACACCAATTTACGTATCGGACCAATTTATTATACAATACTCTTAAAATTTCGTCGATTACTTTGAAAAATCATATTGATTTTAATTTAATGCTAATGTAATTTGTAGTGTGATTAGGAGTGATTATTGAGAAAAATCTGATAGTTAAATCCATAAATGAACAAATAACGTGTGGGTTACTTATGTACTTTCTGGCTGCTTTTTGTATATAGTGCTTAAAATACCCCACCACAAATATATGTGTCAAATTTTGATTGTGATATAACCCTTAATGAGCTGATTGTATGCGTTTTTTATATGATTATTTTTTATTTAAAATTCCAGTGTCATGTCAGGGGATATAAACCAAAGTGTTTTAAATTATTTCTTTCAAGAGATATGAATTTATTTTTCATAATTAAGTATTATTACATGTTAAAGATTTATACATATTTTTTCATAATATGTGAATATATCATTTATTTAACACAAAGCGTAAAACTTGTTTTATAATTTGCCTCGTTAGGCATACTTTATCCTTCTTTTTATAATAGAGTTGTATTTTCATTTAGTATATATTGTTTTTTGTTTGATGTTTTGTTGATACAAATAAATATCCCTGGAAAAAACTTTTAAATGTAAAACAGGAAAAACTGTGCTAATGATTAATAGTGTAGGAAAGAATTATTAGATACCTACTGACTACTTTAACCTAACAATATGAAAAACCAAACTATTTCAACCTTTTGCGGCTGAAAATTTCTGAATTAATTTTAACATTATTATGTATTTCTGAATTTGACGATCGAAATTATGCAGTGAAACTGTGTTTTTAAAGCTAACGATATGACATACTAACTTTTAATATAATGTTTTACTTCCTTGCCATCTTCCTGCTAGTTCAAATACAATTATCGCTTTCCAATTACTAATGTACCAAATTGTCCAAATTTTTGGTAAATTTACAAATTTATACATATGTAATTTCATATGTTAACGATTAGTCATGTTTAAAGTCAAGCCCTTTCAATAAATCTCTTTCACTTGAAGACTTGTAATTTCTTTTATAGAAAACAATCTTACACGTTTCCATTGTAATACCTTTGGTTAATGTTGGTGCTTCTAAGTATTGTGTTATTACAAAGTATGAATTAATTAGTTCTGTAAACTTTTTGTACGCATAAAGTAGTATTTATCTTTATAAAAATCAGATCTAAATTAAATTTATTAAAAATTTATTTTCAAAAGAGAGAAGTTATCTTCCTGTGTATGCTTGTGTATGAATGCTTGGTTTTTCATTGAAAAAAATACTTTTCAAATTTCACTTCTAACTGCATCTCCGCCTTAACTAGAAAGACATTTATCCTTTATATGGTGCTTTTTCTATGTTGAATAAAGTTTAAATAATTTTAAGTCTTGGTGTTGTATTAGTACTGTTACTAGAACTTCATTAACTTCATGTTCATCTGTATAAAAATTATTTATGCTTTCATTGTATAAGAGTTGTGAAAGTAGAGGAGGGTGATTGTATATTTCATTATATTTTCGGCAGTTCTCCAAAAGTTTTAGCTTTGGGAACATTAAAACTAACTTTTCAAAATTAGTGAGAGACAGTACGCCTGAAGTTGTTTTTCAAAAGAATAATTTTGGGAACAATGAAAATTCAATTAAAAGTTACCGAGAGCTAGTACGCTCGCCATAGTTTTTTTATATCACTTCTATAATTTGTTGGGAGGGGTAAAGTTTTTTTAGGATTTAGTACACATAGTATAATAACCCAAATATCTTTAGTGGAAATCATGCACAACAAATGAATTAATGTGTCGTAATCAAAACTTTATATTTCTGGGTAGAACTGGTTGAATTACAAGACGAATTCAAGCAATGATAGATTATCTGTAAATTCGTCTTTAGGAAATTTATTTTAGCCTTTCCTTTATATGAAGAATTTTAAACGATGTTCTTTTCCCGCTTTAACGAAGAGGTAAATATTAAATCAGTAGACACTAAGATTCGATAAACAAATGTATACTTATTATTCTGTAATGCATCTTATTTAAGCAAACCATTCTTTTCTATCTTTTGCCAAAAACCTTGTGTAACCGTGTGATGGTATGTTATTCACATTCCAAACCACACTTTTTTATTACGTTTCTGTTATTTGTAATAAAATCTTTTATACTGTTATATGTTTTACTTAATTTACATGTAGAGTATGTATAAAAACTCATCGAAAATACAAGGCTTATAATTTAGTATGCAAGACGCGCGTTTTGTCTACACAAAGATTCTACAGTGGCGCTCGATGCAAATGATATTGGTAGGCAAAATTATTCCAAAAACATTGAAAACCCAGAAGTTCCTGGAAGTTCTGAGATATGGGCTGGTGAAACCCTCAGGGACGAAAAGTTAATCAGCATAAGTGCAATGGTTGCAACATTTTATAGATACAAGGCGTTTAATTTAGTACGTCAAACGAGCGTTTCGTCTACATAAGATAACTTTAGGGGCGCTTAAATGAAAAAAAATCAACAGCGATGCTCGCATAAAACAAGATTCATCAGTGGTGCTCGCATAAAACAAGATTGATCAGTGGTGCTCGCATAAAACAAGATTCTTCAGTGGTACTCGAATAAAACAAGATTCTTCAGTGGTGCTCGCATAAAACAAGATTCATCAGTGCACTCGAATCAAAACAAGATTCATCAGTAGCACTCGATACAAAACAATTGAAAGAACAAATAAATTACAAAGTTCAAAAATATTTGTCAATCTAGGCTATTGTGTCTGGGAGTAGAAAAACCCAAGTGTTTCGAATGATTTTAAGAACAGTAAATTAACAGAAAATGATTACATCAATAATATTGCTGACTAAGGTTTTTTTCTCGATTTTCAACTGCTAATTTAATGTGTACTAACAAACTTACATATATATCGGAAGAACAAAGTGTTCATTTTTATTCCCTTCCCTTCCAATTGCAGATGAGCTCTATTGAAAAATAACACATTTTTTATCCTTGTCGCCAGTCACATTAAAGAAAATCATGTTTTTTAAAAATACTTCTGGTACCTACATGATATTTTATTCCTTTTTGATATAACATTTGATAATCGAAATTATTCAGTACGATTTGCAAAATAATAAAATCAAAAGTCAATGATCGTAGAATGTCAAAATAATTAGTGATTAGTAACACAAAATATCGGATGCCTGAGTACTAATGTGTTGTTGGTTTTGTAGTAACCATTCATCTACATAACATTTACTGTCATACGTTTTATCTGATTATAAATTTTACAGATAAAGGAAAATATCTTACAATCCATGACCAGTTGTGTGTCGTAAAAGGTAAACCGGACTCATCAAATCATTATGATAAATGTAGGCCTCTTCTTTGTATGACTAGTTGTCTCATTGAAAATCATAACACATAGATATAAGAAGATGTGGCATGAGTGCCAATGAGAAACCTCTCCATTTAAGTCACAATTTGTAAAAGTAAACTATTATAGATCAAAGTACGGCCTTCAACACGGAGCCTTGGCTCACACCGAACAGCAAGCTATAATGGGGCCCCAAAATTACTAGTGAAAAACCATCCAAACAGGAAAACCAACGGTCTAATCTATATAAAAAACGAGAAACGAGAAACACTTATGAACAACATCAACAAACGACAACCACTGAACATCAGGTTCCTGACTTAGGACAGGTGCAAACAAATGCAGCGGGTTTAAACGTTTTAATAGGCGCCAACCTTCACCCTACATGAAACAATAGTGTAATGTCCTTATTTTAAATGTACATGATTTAGCACAAAAAATATAATTTTCAATGATAATACAATACATAAACAATATAATACAAAAACAATACAATACAATATGATTTGAACAAAAACAAGGCATGACAGAACAATACAACACAACGCAACATATTTCTGTGTAAAGAATTTACGGAAATACCTTTACCATATTCATCTTTATGGGTATAGTTCTACAGTCAGGTCCAACAATTATATTGCTGGTACAAACACCTATAACGTATACCTTTAAACCAGTTGTTAACAAATCCCGTTTACCAGCTGCACATGAAAACGAATGAGAAAATGAACTTGGTAATCTGGAAGAAGTTTTGATAATATGCTCGTCTCCGTGTAGGTACCATTTCTAATGCAACTGGATTGTAGTGAATATTTTAACGATCAAATGTATCTAAATTAAGATGCCTGGAATTATAATCCATGATTAATAACACTATCTTTATATTGTTGTTTTCACAAATTCTTATGCATCTATTACTACTAGTTATAGTCCAAACAGTTTGTAATGATGTAAAAATATGTCCCTTGATGTTTTGACCCTTAAAAGTCAGAAGAAATACCATAACATCTCGTGGTCATGTGATCACCTCTTTTGTTTATCGATATTCGTCAAACTGTGAATGCTTTCTAATTTTAAAGTCGAAACAAAGCTATCATCTAGATCTGGATGAGTGAAAACTTGTGTTTACATAGAACACAATAAGGTTATCTTGAATTGCATTGCTACATCAATTGGTCTAGGAAAAGTTGGTTAGATTTCTGAATTAAATCTAATCTATACTTTCTCCATGTACAAATAATCCGTTGTTTGACATAAAGGTTGCTTCAAGTATATTATTGCACTTCATAAATGGTTTCTCCGGGGTATTTCTTATTTGCTAACTCACGGTTTTACTTCGGATGAGTTTTTCAGATAAACCTCTTAGTTTTGTGGCAAGCTCTCTAAAATTCAAAATTCACTTATGAACATAAATAGAATTAACATTTTCACTTCGATCAAATAATCCAGATTTATACAAATTTGATATTGCACAAATGTTTTATACATTTATGGATCAGTTTTTATCATTGATCATTCGCATATACAAAATTTACAAAAACAAATCATGATAACCAAAATAACTGGAACTATAATGAAGAAGTACATTTAAGGAACGGCAGTTTCCGATTTGGGTAATATTCGTTTTGTGTTGTTATCAATACCAAAATAGCTATAAAAATTTAATGTAAGGTTTGTATAATAAACTATCGATTTAGGTATTTTTAGGTAAAGTCCAATCTTTTTGACGCATTCATTCTACTGAATTGCCTATACGTGTGAAATATAATAAAATGAGACTCATTCAATAAAAACATTACGGTATGAATATACATGTCTTAAATGTCGCATCTTGACGTGTATTCGAAATTGGCTTTATCGAACTGGAATATATCACAAACGTGATGATTTTTACTTTTCCAATTGTCAATGTCCCATTTCTCAGCAGTAACAAACCCTTTGCTCCAAAGTATGGCGTTTACATATCTCAGTTTATACATTACGCTCGTGCATGTTCATACTATACGGACTCAATTAACAGGGCGTACTCCTTAAAACTAAATTGCTCCAACAGAGTTATGAGGAAGAACGATTAAAATCGACACTGCCTATGTTTTATGGTCACCATAACGAATTGGTTGACCGGCGTCTCAACTCACTAGCTATATGTTTTTGCGGTCTTAGAAATTTAGATGTCAGTATAGTTGTCTGATCTGTAATTAACCCATTGTTTCCTATTCCCAATTGTAATATTTTGAATGAGTGTAAATTCGCATTGCAGTTGATGCATGCAAAGCAGGAGACGCTTACACTGTCGAATAACCCGGTCGCACTCCTATTGGAGTTCATTCGATTCCCTCGGTTGATGTTTTGTTACCTTAATTTTTCTCCTTTTCAATTTGCGAGATTTGAACATCGGTAAACAACTGTCGACTTTAAATATCATACATTCTCCTTTTATGAGTCCAAATAATCAGAAAACACAAATGCATAATGGAGGTACCACTTATTTCTGTTTAATCCCCAGGATATTTTCAAGTGTATTATGCAGCGTTTGATGTTAATTTCACAATTTAAAAGTCTATTGTATTACTATTTTTTATTGCATCCATTCATTAGCTTCTAATGTATTGACTAAATAAAACTTGGAGGAATATTTGAGTTATCCTTCTTGCATTGACTTTTGAATTGCAATGCTACTTACGCAAGTTCTATTTCACCATTGTGATCTGAATCTAAGTGTTGCAGTAATTTATCTACTTTTGAACTAGGAAGTGGTATTTCTGCTGCCTGTAATATACGTTTATTAGACCTCAAATCACAGAAAGATTTTGCTTTTTGAAATGCAGTTAAGAAAAATATCTATGAAAAAGTAAAATAACAAAAATACCGAACTCCAAGGAAAATTCAAAACTTAAAGTCCTTTATCAAATGGCAAAATCAAAAGCACAAACACTTCAAACGAATGGAAAACAACTGTCATATTCCTGACTTGGTACAGGCATTTCCTTATGTAGAAAATGGTGGATTAAACCTGGTTTTATAGCTAGCTAAACCTCTCACTTGTATGACAGTCGTAAAAAAATTCCAGATTAATTCCAATTAAAGATCAGTAATGTGTTTGTAATAGACAGTTTTGAAAAATTGAAATAATCTGTGTTAAACGGAAGCTTAGGATATATGTATAGAATCATTTGACACAAACGTACCAGAGATATTTAAGAGTAATGTCCCTTTATCTAGGTTGGAATTGAATGCACACAGACTAATATATATTAAATTATACCTCAAATCACACGGCAAGTTTTTCCAATTGTAATGTCACACTTTGTTTTTAAAGTTTTACTTGAATGCACACATAGTATATGCAATTATTCAGTTTGTTTAGGTGATCAAAAATAAGATATACTTAGTTTGATCAACAACGAAAGAAAGAATCACAATTACGATTATGATATATTTGCATCATTTTCCCATTATTTGCTCTTCTATCCATAAAAGCTCATGGTTAAAGATCTCGGAAGCAACACTTGCCAATTTTACTGGTATTAAACGTTTCAGAGCTGATTGTCTGGGAGAATATGTTACACAAAAAAATTAAATAAATGTTTTGCGCGCAGGTAAAACTGGTTTAACTCCATTTTCTTTAATCTGTACCGAGCCAGGCTATCTGGACTAAATATTTATACGAGACGATATTTGTTGAACAGTTGTCTTTGAAGACAAAACATCTTTCCTATGGACTATATTTTTAGTTTTTAGTAAATCTACCTGAATTCCTCGCTTTATATTTTCAGTAAATCAACCTGAATTCCTCCCAATATATTTTTAGTTAATCTACCTGAACTCTTCGCTTCATATTTTCAGTTAATATACCTGAAGTCCTCGCTTAAATTCGTTGTAATCTATAGAATCACTATTGTCATCGTCGAATTCCCGGAAAAGCTTGAAAACCGATATACTTTTGTCTTCTAAGTATTGTTTTATGGCAATCAAACCCTCCGTTGCACTGTCCACATAAACTGGTTTAGTCCGAGATCCTTTCACACTTTCTTCACAACCAGGTTTTATCTTTAACATGGGTAAAACCTGCCGTACTTCATGCATTTTCTGATCAAATGATCGCGGTAAATGTAACCCCTTCAACAAAATACTTGTGTTTAGTTTAATTGATACAAGTGATATATGAAAACAATTAACAACGATTTCATTTCATTTCTATATAAATAAAAGTAGGTATATGATGTGTATAGGCCAAAGGGACAGTAACCACAAATGAACACAAAACGCTTCCAGAAGCCAACATTTGGTCAATACAATAGATAAGTCTTTATACAATGTCAAGCTGCAATCAAAGTGACTAATGTCACTGTTGGGAAGATTGGAATAATTGTGTACATATTTTCAATCCTTTTTTTTTTTTTATTTTCCATTGAGGCAAGGTGGTTGACAAAAATAACTTGATATAGCAACATCGCATATAGTGGCATTACTGTGATTATTTGAATTGAATATATTAGCAATTTGAATTTTTGTTCAGTACATATAATCAGATAATTGTGTGACTCATTGTCAGTGAGTCACTAAATTCGCATAACACATAAATTGAAATTTGATATTTCTATCAAATCATGTTAACAGTACATGCACAGAAGAAATTATAGAAAAAAATACTCTAAAAGAAGTTTATCATTTTTGTTCATCGGTAAACCCGGGGCCAAAAGATAAAGAGACTTGAAAACTGAAGATCTTTGTCTTCAAAGGTATACCTGTTAATAATTGTTTAGGAGCATTTCTATCTACAAAAAACTCATCAAAGATACAAACATTGGTATACTAATTTCTAACTCCTAAGGATTGCTTTTTCATTTCTATAGAAAGATTATGTAACACTGAACAATGCATGCTGACGATGAGTGGTTGTCGGGTGGAATACTTAGTAGGTTAGTTTTCATTTCCATAATCTAACATTAATAGTTTTATTCTACTGCTTTAAATATGAATTTTTCAGGCAAATGTTTTCATATTTCAAATGTTCAATTTAAGATTGCGAACTGTTTTTTTTTTAAATCTTCTGTCCTTCTAAACATTCGTCAATAATGATTTTGATATGGCCATGGTTGACGGGTGAGGAATTTGCGAAGGATTATTTTTTTTATTTTGGTCAGTAAAGAGGTTGATTTTCCAATAAAAACTCTGCCTCTGAGTTTAACTATTTCTTTATAATGGTAATTAATAATTATATCAGTAGTTTTTTTAGTACTCTTACTCAAATAAAGACCAAACTTTCCAACAAATTCACAGAACTAATGGCATTCATACTTGAATAAGTTACTCTAAAGATAAAACCGATTTTTTATTAGTTCTTTTGTGCATGTTTACATAGACATGCATATTTTGGAACTATATTTCAGGGTGTATAGATATAATAGCGAACTAGGCTACATCATGGTGAATGGAAACAATTACTTATTTGGCAAAAAATGTAACAATAATCCTTCCAAAACATTTAATTTAGAAGATACTTTCAAAGATCTGTCCTCAACACCAATAAGGTACGGCAAATTTCAACTCATTTGTTTCACTCAAGGGGTCAAATATCGAAATATTGTTAAACTAGAAAAATATGAATACCTAATCGTCTTACATGATATAAAGAAAGAATTTTCAACAACTTGATATGTATCTATATAATCCAGTAAATGGCATATCATTTTCCAGCATTTTATATGTATGAACATGGTAAATCTTCCTCCAGTCAGGACCGCGTTTGGGTAATAACATTAACGGTATATATATATATATATGTATACAAATTGTTACCAACTTACCGTTAAGTCAATTATCCTAATTTTCGTTGTTGATGGATCAAATGTGACTAAAAAATCTAAAGAAGTTTCTATTGCTTCCTTTGGTATGTAGTTTCCTCCAACCTGTAAGTAAAAAAACTACCAACAATTACTCTTCTAATGATTTATTTTATTCGAAGTCCATATATTTCGACCATAAGATTTCTGTTCAAACTAGTGCTAAGTTTTAAACCTGTGAGCAATGACATGTGAGTTTTTTCTTCATGTTGAAGGCCTCACTGTGACTTTGAGATCAAGAACAGCAATATTTCTTTGCTTTTGTTTTTCTTCATGTGCGCTTAGTGATTTTGTGTCATGAATTGATATACAACACGTCCTTTCTTTGTCATTGAATATCAATTTAAGTTTTTTGTTAAAAGATTACCAATATTCACTGATCACTAAGAGGAAGGTTTGTGAAAAAGAAATCGAACAATCTCGTGTGTCAATTATTTCTTTCATTATATTAGAACAACCAACCATCTGTCTTGAATTGAAAATTAAACATTTTAAAAACTGTGAGATCACGTTTGTTCCAGAATATTGCTAAGGATAATTATTTACTACAACGAATGCCACAGTAATAAATAGAATAGACATACCTTAAGAATTTCTAGTCTTTCATTAGATTTCAAACCACACATAAGTTTACCAAATCCTTCCGCAGTTATTCGGCAAGATGAGATATCAAGTTCTGTAAGGAATCCATTATTAGCCAATGCATCCCCAAATGCAGCCCCTCCATCATCATCAAATCCGTTCCACGAAACATTAAATGTCTTCAAATAGGCATTCTCCTAAAATTATAAAACAGAGCAATTCGACTTGCAAGTTGTTTCCCAAAACCATTTAAGAAATAAAAATCTATTTTTTATATAAACCAATGAATTATTTTGCGTAAACAATTTCGGAAATATTGGTTTTTTTCTGGCGTTTCTGGGTTTTTTGTGCATACCTTTTTTTTTCATTCGTATAGTCCACAAGCCTACATATTAGCTTATGTGATGATAAAGATCAAAGATTCAAAATTAAAGAAATTGTAGCTCGAAGTGAAACAGTGGGAAACATAATTCACAGCAGACTTTGTATTAAAAACATAAGTGAATGTAATAGAACATGGTTAAAAAAGGAACCAATTCTGCCTTCAGAGAACGTAAGCAATATTCAGACATATACTTTTAGCATTGATATCTCCATTATCTCGTTAAAGGTTTATCCTCACAAGCTAAAGAAAAAACTTTTTTGACAAAAAGGGCGTTTCTTTAAAGGGACTTTACCTTTAATCCAGATGAAATATGCAAAGCACCATGAGTCCTAAATTGGTTCCAACTGATGTCAAGGTATTTCAGTTTACAATTTTCTGTAATATTAATTGCCAATTTTAAATAGACACTCGTTTTGAGAAAAACAAATTATAAACTGATTATCAATATCTATATATAGGAAAACAAACTAGTACATATAACACATGATATTTCAAGTTTTGAGAATCAAAATTGATTTAAACAAACAATTTAATTGGTCTGTTCAACTGCACTTGAAAATTATCGTATTTATTGCGCACAATTATTGTATACATTTCACATTATAACAAACATCTTCTTGTAAGAGTGTAAAACTCTTTTCATAAAAACACACTAGTTAAATCTTTTTTCGGATTAATCATTTCTTTTACCGTATAGTTTAGGAACATTTAAACCAAAGGTCAAGTTACAAATCAAAAAGGGTGTTGTACAATTCATTTGGAAGTCCAACAAACTATAAGGTTGACAGCACACTGTTTAGGTTTTATTGGTCGTCAATATCCATTTATGCCAACAAACCAAAATCGTGTTAGGTCCCGGTGTTAACATTTCAAATAACTTCTTTCAACTTCACACATCTTCTTGATGTCCTGAATCAAGTTACATTTTGTTGATACAGTGCAAAATATATCTATAAAGATTGGAATAATTTCTATTGATTTTGCGAGGAAGACTTAGTACCTTGTTAATACAAGCAGGAGAAATCTTCACTCAAACATAATGTTTTATTCATATTTTTGAATAATTGCTTATAAAATATTTATATTTAATGTGCAAAATAGAATATGTATAAAAACAACTAACACCTATTTCTTTTGTGTAATAACTTGGGTTACCTTGAACACATGATTCACATGAATGTAGATGATTTTGTACTTACCCAATAACTGTTCAAATACCGGACTAGATGAATCACTAAATAAATTATGACTTAAGTTGACAAATTCTAGAACTGGATGTACCTGAAAATATGAATGAACGTTTTGTTTCATGCAAATATTGGGTGTACCTGCAAGTATATGTATAAATACACGTTTTGTTTCAAAAAAACGTTCTTGATTTAAACTAGAGTTATCAGAGGGTACATTTAAAAAAGTAGTACACAATACATGCATATGTTATCCTTCTAAGTAGTACACAATACATGCATATGTTATCCTTCTAAGTAATACACAATACATGCATATGTTATCCTTCTAAGTAAGAAGAAACGGTATTTTGATTCAGCGAAAGTTATTTTTTGAATGGTATTTTATTGCACCGGTTTAAGGCTAATGTTTATTTGCAGTGCTGTTAGTTTATGTTAGTTTTTAATCTATCAAGGGCTTAATATCAAAAGTAGCTATTTTTGCGTTCATTCCATATTTATAAATTAAATTAAATCGTATGATTATTATTGTAATATTGCTTACTTCTATTGACCGTGACAAAACTCGTGCATCCGAATCAGTGAACTCGTTTCCTATAAAAAAATTAAAAAGAAAAATATTTAAATTACTCTTGCAAAGATTTTTTTTGGTACAAGGGTGAGCAAGAACTAGACTTAAGTGAAGTTGAACTAGTCTTTTGAGAATCTAACCGTGTAAAATGCCAAAAGGTAGAACGTATAAAATCTGTTCTGAAAAGCACTTAATTCTATAATACTGGCATTTACACACAACAAGACAATAGTTACGTCTAAGAACAACACTAATGATACAGTATCAAAGAAGCTTGCAATTGCTGAAATCAAGCTTACAATATTATATTCATTTGCTTATATAGAAATCATGACTTCTCTTAATCAAACCCGAATTTCGGTGTCCGTACTTGCGGGAAGATTATTATGTTCTCAAAGAAAAACATGTAGCGTTTGTCGATATTATCAAAAGAGTACTGGTTTTAACATTATCTTTCCTATAAAATACCAACCCCATTTTAATAACGGGAGACAACTCTGAAACTGAGGAGACAAATAACTGCAATAAAGGACATAATCCTTGGAATAATTTATTTGTTGTTTATTCATAAAACTGATGTCTTTCGATGATAAACTAATATCCAGTTCTAATCATATAAGCTTCTTATAAACAAAATTCAAAAGTATTATGATTTTACGTTTTGTCCATCAGTAAATCTTTTGAAACAAGTGTAAAATACTGCAAACCTCTTCGGAAAGTGAAAAGCACAAGAAGTCTTTATTTCAGGAAAACACAATAATTCAAAATGATAAAAGAAAAAACACCCTAATTTCGTAACAATGTTTGATAACAGATCATTCTTATCCTGGCAGTTTTACTTAACGTTTGTTTGCCTTATACAATATGATATATCATGGAAGTAAAATGAGTCAATATAATACTTCCATGTATATATTTACTTCAATATTTATAATCCAACTCGAGTATAGAAATGAAAATATTTATGAATAAAGGTAATATAAAAATAAAAGGTGTGGTGTGATTCACAATTAGACAAGTATCCACCTGTGAACATAGGTCGAGGATGTAAGCAATTACAGGGCACTGTACGGCCTTCGATAATGAGCAATACTCATACCGTATAGTAAGCTATAAAAGGTCCTAGAATGACAAATTGTAAATCTATTCAAAAGGAAAAACCAGCAGCCTGATTTATGCTAAAAATAATAAACGAAAAAAAGATTTTTGTAGAAAGCATTCAACGACGACCATTGAATTACAGGCCCCTTACTTTGAATAGGTATACATATGATGTGGCGGGGTTAAACATGTTTGTGAGCGCAGAACCCTTCCCTAACCTAGGACCATGTTGTAACATCAGAGTGAGACGAAGCATACAATGCATTAACAAAAAATTACTAAGTACTGATATAATAGTACTCACAGTTAATGAAAGACTAATTACTGACCTGAGAGTACTCACAGTTGATGAAAGACTAATTACCGATCTAAGAGTACTCACAGTTGATGAAAGACTAATTACCGATCTAAGAGTACTCACATTTACTGAAAGACTAATTACCGATGTAAGAGTCCTCTCAGTTACTGAAAGACGGATTACCGATCTTTGAGTACTCGCAGTTACTGAAAGACGGATTACCGATCTAAGAGTACTCACAGTTGATGAAAGACTAATTACCGATCTAAGAGTACTCACATTTACTGAAAGACTAATTACCGATGTAAGAGTACTCTCAGTTACTGAAAGACGGATTACCAATCTATGAGTACTCGCAGTTACTGAAAGACGGATTACCGATCTAAGAGTACTCACAGTTGATGAAAGACTAATTACCGATCTAAGAGTACTCACAGTTACTGAAAGACTAATAACCGATGTAAGAGTACTCTCAGTTACTGAAAGACGGATTGCCGATCTATGAGGACTCACAGTTACTGAAAGACGGATTACCGATCTAAGAGTACTCACAGTTGATGAAAGACTAATTACCGATCTAAGAGTACTCACAGTTACTGAAAGACTAATTATCTTGCAATAGTATTAAAACATTTGACTTTTCTACACTTTACACAAGTATTCCCCATTCCAAACTAAAAGACAAATTGAAAGAGTTGGTATTACTTTGTTTCATTCAAAAGAATGGCGAACGTAGATACAAGTATCTTGTCTTTGGATACTAAAGATATAGTTAAGTCTGCCTCGTATCTTGACTTACATCTAGAAATTGACAATGAGGGTCGGTTGAAAACAAAACTTTACGACAAAAGAGATGATTTCAGCTTCCCAATTGTGAACTTTCCATTTCTATGTAGCAACATTTCAGCAGCGCCTGCATACGGAGTATATATCTCCCAATTGATGCGATATTCCCGGGCTTGTATTTCCTATCATGATTTCCGTAATAGAGGATAGCTGCTCACAAGGAAGCTATTAAACAAGAGTTCCAAATGGTGAAGTTGAAATCATCCCTTCGTAAATTTTACGGACGCTATCACGAGTTGGTTGACCGTTATGGAATAACCGTTTCACAGATGATATCGGATATGTTCCTTATGTCGTAACTACAATACCCTTCCCTTTTCACGAATGTGACCTACCGAATAAAACTATTTACCGGATTTGTAATAACATAAGCAACACGACGGGTGCCACATGTGGAGCAGGATCTGCTTACCCTTCCGGAGCACTTGAGATCACCCCCAGTTTTTGGTGGGGTTCGTGTTGCTTAGTCTTTAGTTTTCTATGTTGTGTCATCTGTACTATTATTTGTCGGTTTGTCTTTTCATTTTTGGCCATGACGTTGTCAGTTTGTTTTCGATCTATGAGTTTGACTGTCCCTCTGGTATCTTTCGTCCCTCTTTTTTAATTACCGATCGAAGAGTACTCGCAATTACTGACAGACTAATTACCGATCTAAGAGTACTCACAGTTACTGAAAAGACTAATTACCGATCTAAGAGTACTTGCATTTACTGAAAGACGGATTACCGATCTAAGAGTATTTGCAGTTACTGAATAAAATTGAGAAAGGAAATGGGGAATATGTCAAAGAGACAACAACCCGACCAAAGAGCAGACAACAGCCGAAGGCCACCAATGGGTCTTCAACGCAGCGAGAAAATCCCGCACCTGGAGGTGGTACTCAGCTGGCCCTAAATAAAATTGTGTTCTAGTTCAGTGAAAATGGACGTCACACTAAACTCCAAAACACATAAATGAACTAAAATTTTAAAAAACATACAAGACTAACAAAGGCCTGAGGCTCCTGACTTGGGACAGGCGCAAAAATGCGGCGGGGTTAAACATGTTTTGTGAGATCTCAACCCTCCCCCTATACCTCTAGCCAATGTAGAATAAAGAAACACATAGCAATACGCACAGTAAGCTAGTGGCAGATCTAAGAGTACTCGCAGGTACTGAAAGCTAGTGATGCTTTTATAAACGCGTTTAAAACCAGTCAAGTAATTTTAACTGACGTTTTTATTTTTATTTTTAATGAGGCAACTTTTTTTTCTTTCTTACTTTGACTTAATATCTTTAAGTTCTGAGAGCAGCTAGTGAACATTTATCTTGAAATAAAATAGTTATACAATTACTTTAATATTTATAACTATAATTACAAGCAAAAGACAAGTTTCCATCTCACTATATGGACAATTTCAGGTAATCTGAATATTGCATGAATATCTGCGATTGATATCTTGCATTTTGTCCCATTAATAATTTACCATGAAATGAGAATAGATTGCAAAGCAAACATGGCTTTTGATCGATTCTTCATTCAAATAAAATTCCGGTAAAGACTTTGGAATATATCATATTGAACACTCCAGGAACTTTTTTGAAAATATCTGCAATTTCACACCATTCACATTCTTGTTTCAATTGATATTTCATACCCCACATGACTAATATGGAAAAAAAAAACACTTTTATGAAGATTTTCACAGATCTTAATTGCTTACATTTAATAAATAATCATGCATTCCAGTACCACCTTAATGGTCTATTTACCTGAGATATCTATCTTTTGAATAAATCGGTTGGTATCCAACATCGTTGCTATGGTTTTTGCGCCAAATTCTTTTAATTCGTTTTCTGACAAATCCTTGACAAAGAAAAGATAATACGTTAATTGAAAAATTGAAATAAAGTGAATTTTATTTTGAACAAAATATATAAGCTTCAACTTTCGTACTGATAGTGTCGTGTGGTGTCTGGTTACCGAGATTGATGTTGAATGCGAGATAAGTACCGATTATCAGGTTGTCTGCATATTGATATTGTAAAATAACAGCTGCGAGTCACAATATGGAGCTTTTTGTCGAGTGAGCGCAGCGAACAAGTTCAAAAAGGCTTCATATAGATTAGACCGTTGGTTTTCCTGTTTGAATTGTTTTACACTTGTCATTTTGGGGCCCTTTACAGCTTGCTGTTCGGTGTGAGCCAAGACTCCGTGTGTGTTGGAGGCCATACTTTGACCTATGATTGTAAACTTTTCATACATTGTGACTTAGATGGAGAGTTGTCTCATTGGCACTCATACCACACCTCCTTATTTATATTCATATTGGGTCGAGCAGCTGATACTTTACAATATAATAATGCAGACAACCAGATAATCGATTTATCGGGTTGTAAATGCGTATTTTGCATGATAGAAACAAGTGTTTTCTTTGTTTCACCAGCAAACCGGAAGATCACTTGATAAGTTCGGGTCAAATTTACCAACGTTGATTCATTCATTTTGACGTCGGGGATATGTCCGCTTTAAATTTATTTAGGCCATGTCAACGTATTTGACGTCACAAAGTCGTGATATGCAATTTTGTTAGAGCTGGGCAGAGTGATACCGGCAGTGGGATGACCGATAATAACAAATATTACATAATTATGGTGTAGCATTCTTCTTTTTTCGTTGTTTATAACGACCACGTTATTCAAGGGGAATTTTTTAAAGTATATGGACGCTATGTTTCTATTCATTATATATTGACGGTCGATAATAAAAACCTTACAAAAATACAATGTAAAATACACAGAAAGAACATTGAGGTCCATTTTCATAATACACTGTTTACATAAACAATATTTAAATAGGGGCTTTCACTTAGTCAATACACTATATATGGACCTGTTAGATTATTTTCGAGCTTCGTCCTCGGTCAATATCATCTGAACAGGTCCATATATAACGTATTGACCTCGTCAAAAGTCCATAATTGATAAATTATAATTTATAACTAAGGCTTAAATTGAAGCCTACCGTAAATTTTCCTTACCCTAACATTTAATGGACATTTTCGGTTATGCACTGTTGAAGTGCAGAACATTTCCCCAGTCTATACACAACATTTATTTATTTTTTTCAAAAATCAAACTATTTTACGTAAACTTTTCTCTCAGGAAGAGGGATACAAGTATATATTGGCATGATTTAAGATCGTGAATTGTAAAAGAACAATAACATATGAATGAAACACGACTAAATTGAATAAAAAAAAATCTAGTTTGTGTTAGGCATCTATCATGGTTCGGCATTTTTTTTTTTTTTTTTTTTGACTGTTTTCCTTTAATCAGGATTCTTTTTATTATGACACAAATATAATTTCTACACTCACAAGATCTGTAATACTGTTGTTTTCGACCATCATTTTCTGTATATAAGATATACCCTTTTGACCAATATTGTTCCCTCGAAGATACAGACACGTCACTGAAGTATTCACCTGTCAATAGAGTCAACATTTTTTTCATTGATATAAATATGTAAATAGGATACGGATTTCTAGTTAAGATATTTACTATCCATATCTCACTTAGGTGTTTAATTGTAAATAGATACAAAATAATAATCAAACATTCCTTTTGAGTTGGGGTTTCGTGAAGATTAAAACAAACCTCTGATTTATGTCAAAGATTATTTAAAGATATACAAGACTTGGGATTTCTGGTAATTTTATGGTGTCTTTGTCCAAATCTAAAGCCCAAATGTCCTTATTATAACCCCCTCCGGTTTCTAAATTCGTTTTACGCATTACATAGATTGTTTTTCTTATCGTCAATTTTTTTAAGAGTACCCCGCATTACACTGCTCTTGTCGAAATTACGTCCAGTTACGTGCATTTTGAGACATCAACTCACAAATATATTCTTATTCTTCTGGTTAAAGAATCCAGTTTATATAAGATACAATAAACCAGGCAATTTAGAAACAATATGATATACGCCTTATGACTCTTAATTTGACTTTAAATTGAACGAATATCTGAATAAAAACGAATAAATAATTTAACAATCCTTCGTGCTGTTATTCAACATATACACATTACGGTTGAGTTAATGGTAATTAAGCATTCAGTAACTTTTAATTTTCTGTATATATGTATAAATGAAATTAAGTGAGATATACAAATATATTTAATACAGTTCAAGAATTTCTAATAGCCCAAAACACTAATTAAGACTTTGACAATTAATCACCCAAAGTTTAACAAAAAAATGAAAATAGAATAAACCTCGAATCCAAGTCATAAAATGATCAAACTTTTTATATCTATAAATCATAAACATTTTTGGGCTTTTTTAACCATGTATTACCTTCTTCTCGACATCTACACATCGATCCAATCTTAATTGTCATATGATGTATTCATAAAAAAATAAATATTTTGTGGTACTCACTAACATCGCTATAGACAAAGCCATTGTCCCTCCCTCTGCTAGTCCATAATATGGCAAGTTTAAAATTGTATTTCCTTCGGCTAGCTGTTTTGCAAGTTTTGATGAAGGAACAACGTGTTGCATTTTACAAGCTCGTATATATGTTTGGGATCCGGTTATGTCAAAACTTGGTCTTTTTACTGTAAACACAAAATATATTAGTTGGTTTCATTGGTGTTAAACAACTTTATTGGATGTTCATTTTGGGGACTCGACGAAAAAATTTGTTCGGAACAGATGATCATAAAACATCTATTTTTGAGATTTCAAGTTTTCACAATGGAAGGGAAGGGCTGTAAAGCATTGGAGCTTCTGGTGTTATACATATGAATGTCATGAAAAATGGGCACTGAATATTGTTAAGAAATAGGACTAAGACGGTATACTGTTTTATAGAGGTATGTCAAACGAAGAACCTTGCACCCAGCTGTAATGTTTGTCCCTCCCTATTCAATTTTATGCTAGTTGATAGAACTATTGGTCTTGTTCTCCGGTAACGACCATTTTAGCCCCCATCTGTATTCGTTTATGCGCATCACCCGCATTACTAATATATTGTCGTTTTCTCTTCTTCTGAATATCGTAAAAAAATGCATTCAGTTCTTATATTTATGGTATTATTATTTTAAATGGAACAATTATAATCAATCATAACCATTGCATACCAATACTTAAACTTGCACAAGCTGCACTGAAGACAGAAAACAAACCGGTGCAAATGAGTCAAGGTTGAAGACAATATAATAACACAAATCACCACTAGTAGACACACACACCGTTTCAACAAAAAAACTACGAAAGGAAAGGGATTGATTTATTTCTTCAAACGTTAAAGTGATAAGAATGCAAGGCATTACTAACATCCATTGAGAACATTCATATATTTTTTTCAGAAAAATAAAAATTATGAGTGTAGAATTCACACAGTTATTCTGCATTCCTAGAAACTTAATGAACTCGGCTAACTCGGAATAGTATGTTCATGATTGCTACCAGCCATATAGGCCCCTGCTGTAACGACTATTGATTCCAACTGTCTGTAATAGTTAAAATCTGTCTTTTATTGGAGGGTAATGAGAAAATCGCTGCAACTGCATCCTTTTTAGACAAACCAAGTATGTAAAAATCAATTTGTCTATCGAATTATGATATTGCTTAAAATTGTTATGCGTGAAATGGAACTTTTAAGAAAGAAGGAACTACGAAGAAACTAATCGCGTTTTCGTCAAACCCACATTTCATATTTTGATTTACCTTTTCGCTTCATCTATTGCACATTAGTAATGTGCTGGAATCTGCTCACATTGAGCACAGACCAGAAAATATAGATATAAAAAAACACGTTAAATTGTAGTTATTGACATTAAATGTGTCTCCCCCACTGCGAAGCTGCTAGCAACAAACATTAACTGAAAAAGACAAATTACTACTTATATTCGAAAAGGGAGAAAAGATAAAGTTGGCTTTGCCATTGAAATGTTACTTTTCTATTTTTATAAAATAACAACTATTTTTCCCAAACATTGATTTCATCTTTGTTTAATTCTACATTCCAAATGCACTTGGGCTAGTAGATTTGTATGTTGATGTTTGTATATTTAATTCGCTGTAAAAATGTCTTGAGTAGTTAACATTAACATTAGGTCGTTGACTACGTGTTATAAATTTACTTTTAAAACATTTAATTTTGTGTTGAATTGAATCAATGACTTTAGATAAATTAGTATTTTCGCTTCAAGAGGCAAATTTTATTATAATGAAAAAAGATGTTTTAAATAAACATTTACGTCAGGTTTACCTTTAAACAAAGTTTTAAAATCCAGTAAATTGTGTGCTTAAGTATAAAACTTCCTTTTTCATTTTCAACAGGAATTTGTAAATAAACGCTTATCCTGATGATTTTCATTGCAATAACACTAAATGATTGAATGATTAAAAATGCCATGGATTTTTATCCTGTGGCACACCTTAATCCATCAGGTTTTAGAAGGATTTGCAATGCAAAATTTCAAATTTTTCTTATACGTGTTTGTTCGTGGTCTTTTCATCTCTTTTTTGGGGGGTTACATTCAATATTACCATCCGGGTTACATTCAATAACTTTCCATTGCTTCTTTAAAGAAAAAAACAAAAAGAGTAGAAGACAACTCGAAGAAAAAGAAGTCACTTACCTGCTACGTTTAAAACCGTTTCCGAATCATCGTCAATAAAAGGTTTATTCCTCATTTCTGACTCCATCAGACAATCAACAGTTAACGACGAGCTTCTTTTTTCATGAGGCTAAAACAAAGTGTGCCGCTTATATCCACTTTTATATTTATTGTATTTCGGGAAAAAATAAATACAGTGTTCCCTTATATCCACTTTTATATTAATCGTATTTCGGAAAAAAATAAATATAGTGTTCCGCTTATATCCACTTTTACATTATTTGTATATCGGGAAAAAAAACAACATTATACTCGCATCAATAATATAATGATTATGTTTGATTCTCTGTTTGTCAATGTTTATTAATCTTTTGAAAACTTTTAAATTGACCGGTCAAACTAAAACCACAACAAGGAGTAGCAATTATTAATAATCGTCAAAATATTTAATAACAACATTCAATGAACTTAACTTTACAAATAACAATGTTCTCAGTAGCAAAAATAGATTATTATCTTACCTTCGATAGCCGTTTCTCTGCTTGTTTCTTTGCGTTAATTTTTACGTCTGCAGTGTTTTCCATATTGATGTTTGATGCTACGCCGGAAGTGGAGTCCAATTTGCCGCCATTATATCACTTGACGTCAATACAAAAGACTTAATGAGAACTTATTTTTCAAACAATAAAAATAATTGTGACTTCAATTAAATCCAAACGACCTAAACATAAACATTTAAATGCAAAAATGTCGTGAACTTTATAGGGCGGTGTTAAATCCCAAGGATTCGTTAGAATTTGATATCCAATAGATTCAATTTAGAAATTGTTACTTTTGTGATTTATCGTTGTAATTAAACATGAGGGTTATTAAAAAGATCAAATGTTTTGTTGTAAGACTGTTGGTTGGTAAATGAAGTAACTTTATGGCAGGCGACAAATATAGCTATCTGTTGATTCGTGTATCCTATATCCGGGTCTTTATTTATATAAAAGATAGTTAAACTGTATATAATGTTTTTGGGCACTTTTACCTTTTCAAAACATTTTATACAAAAATTTAAATGCACGTATTTTACTGATATTTTCTTATCTTGTACTAAATTGCCACTGAAAAATGTCAAAAACATCAATAAATATAAACACATAAACAATTTAATAGCTTTTTGACAAGGTGTGATTTCTAACGTTGGAAACGAATTTAATTCGGTAATTGGAAAATTGACTATTGGAGGAAAACAGATACATAAAGAGAAGGGAAATGTAGTGAAAAAATCTACGAGAAAGCAACCCAACGATGAAAAAATGTTTAATAAATTAAGTACAGGACAATCGATCCATTACAATGGCATAATAGATAGAAAAATACAGGTACAAGAAATTTATTAATAAACAACACCATTTAAAGAAATGTTCGTAGTTACTGGAAGCAATATAAGTAGATGTGTTATGGTTTCCAATGAGACAACGACCATAGGGCAAGGATTAAGACAACTATAGGTCACCGTACGGCCTTCAGTGGACAATTACCCATCAAAGACCAATGAATAAGATACTTAACATTATTTACCACACGCCCTTCAATGAAAAAAAGTAAAGACGTTAGAACTTTAAAACGGCACCCAAAAATGAAATAAACAATTAACGATCTTTTTGACGTATAAGCAAATATGGTATTATAAGTAAAAGTAGAACAGAAGACAACGATAACCGCATGACGTCCGACTCCTTACTTTAGACAGACACCTTAAATATGTAGTGTTGTTCAACAAGTTTTTTTTTGGCATTCCCGCTCTTACTGCACAACGAAAACTCATCAAGGATAACAGGAAATGCACAATAAAATAGTTGAGCGAAAACAGCTTGGTAAGTAGTACCTCATGTTTGACAAATATTATCCACATGTAACCGAAAATAAAGGAAAAACCCTAATGGTTTAATAAAGTAGCTAGCTTAACATTCCAGTTATCATACACAACAAATCAATCTGCAAAATGATTCGGTGATAGATTTAATAATGATATATAATCTTGTGTAGTGACAGTTGTTAGGTTAGAGCATTCTTCTAGAGGGAAACCTGTTTTTACTCTTCGTGTTCTGACCATCGGTACCGATTTCATGACATACGGACCTCTAATTGTTTATTGACCTCCTATACGCAAGAAATTAGATAAAGCAGTTACCTTAATGTGTGATATGCCATTTAATGCATAACGTATCTCAAGTAATTTAAATGTTTTGTATAACTAAGTTTTTTTCAGTTTTCTTGTCCATACTCATAATATAGATTGAAGTACATAACAAACAGCACAACATCAAGTTTTTCAAATTTAATATTTTAATACATAATTGTTATACGTGTGTCTGAATCAGTTTTTCCCAGTCATAAGATCTAGTTTTTTGTCATTTCTTTACTTGGTGGGATGTGTGAAATTTCGTATATTCAGCTTTTGAAAAAATAATACTCGTAACTTTTATGGCGTATATAATTAAAATATTTCTGTTTGTATTTTAGGTGCATCAAAAATTTTCCAACATAGGCAAAGATTTTTTGTTTTATTCCATTATTTTCAATGTCCATATAGATGTTTTGTAAAACAAAGGGTTTTTTTTAATTGCCTTTTCCATACTCATATTACAAACTGAAGTAAATTAAAAAACAGCACACAATTATTTTTTAATTAAACTTTTCCAATATTTAAAATGTTATTGTTGTAGATTACGATTTCCTTGCACATGTGTCCGAAACAGTTTCTCCCGCCCGAACATAAGATATATTTTTGTCATTTCTTTACATGGTGGGATGTGTGAAATTTTGTATATTCAGCTTAAAAAAATATTTAATTCATAGCTTTTAGGGCATATATAATTCAATGTCGTGTTTCTGTGCTAAGCTTCATCGGGTCCGAAAAACTAAAACTTAAAAGACGCAAAAAGCATTACATTTGTAATTGTGTATAAACACTAAAACCAAAGGGGCCTATACAGGACACTCTACATGAAAAAAATATTTGATCACCAAAATGAATTGATAATATTTTTTTTTTCATCAGATTTACTGTAAAGTTAAGAACCACATGTTCTTAAAATATCTAAGGAATATATACTTTTAGCAGGTATACTTTATAATACCATCATGATTTAGTTGACTGGGATAGAATGCATGTGCCACGGCTGATCATGCGGATATATTCCAAATGTCCTAACCACAATTCTGTCTTCCTTTCCTCGATAATGACGTCACGGAATGCGACTTACCACCGATTTTCCCATGAGCAACACAATGAGTGTCAATAGTTGAGCAGAATTTGCCTACACTGAGATAATTGTTTTCAATTTTTTGTTGCTTTTGCTTAAGTATTCAGTGTTGTATTTTGTCCAATCTCATTTTAAAATGTTTATGCTGTTCCTATCGATAACAGTCTTTGTCTAAATCCCTTTTCCTGAAAATGTTTGCATTTTTGTTTTGCTTAGTTTTATGTGTAGTTTTTTGTAAACCTTTGTTTGTCCTTTCTTCGGTCTTTTGTTTTCTCTTTTGTCTTGGTGTTGTCTGTTTTTTCTTCCGACTAATGATTGTTTATTGTCCCATTGATAACTTCTGCCTTTTCATTAACTCTTTTAGACGACATACTATTTCAAACAGTTTTTTTAAACTTGAAAAGGTTTATTTTATCTGTGAAACTTAATATTTTATGTCAAAGTATTTTAAATAAACAAATATATCAAAGTATTTTAAATAAAAATATATTATTTGACTTTACCAGTTGGCTTGTGTAACATACCCCAGGTAACTCCATTAAAGACAGAAATTCCTTTATTATTACATGCAATGTTTAAATACAAAATAATTTGACATTTCTTGTTTAAATATTGAAAGTGCACTTTATTGGTAATTGAAAGCACTTGCAGTTTAATCCAATTAGTATACGAAAGATATTACATAACTGACAAATTGTACTTAATAGTTCTTTAGTGACCGTGTCATAAACCGTTCATATCGTGCCATTCACAAAAACTCACGAGAACCACCTTTCAATTTCTTTTGCGAAAGAATACAATAAGAATTTAATAAATTGTTATTACTAATTATGCACTCTAACAAATTCGGTATGAGCATATTATATTATTAACTATATGTATAAGTGAATCAATTCTGTTTTATAAGCTTATGCCACAATGGGATATATTCTGTATGCCTTGTCTTGGCAGTAGTAGCATTATGGTTTGTCAACAATTACCCGTACAAATACCTGTACTGATACGTTCAGCCCAGTCACTTCTATAGTAAAGGATTCGCGCACTCGAATTGCTGGTATTACTAAGCAAATAAAAATGCTAATAGATGTAGACGACAACGAAGGTTATGGATATTGTGTTATTGATATGGAATTTAAATTAACAACGGTACATTTTAAATTAACTGTTCATATAGATAATGATGTTCATCAAAAAATTGTACTTATCTATTTGGGTATAAATATTTTATATTAGTTTCAAGCTCTTAATACCCTATATATATATCAGGGGTCTAAATACAGCACAAACAACATTTTCCAAAAGACCAAAAATTGAAAAAGTATATTTTAACAAAACGCATTTGACTAGCAGGTCGAACAACGGATGTTCTTAAACCCTGCTGACTGCCATGGCGATTGCCAAATAAACGGACCACAGATGTAACAAAATAGATCTTAATTTTAATCTAATACCAAATAGAAAACAAAAAACTTGCGGAAAAGATGGTATACCGCAAACATGAGGTGCAAAAATTTGTACACCATATCCGGATTTCGACAATTAATGTTTCTTCAGTGATGTTAGGAATCGAAACGGTATTTGGAAGGCCATAAAATTTACCTCAATTTGGGATTGACTCTTGAATTTTGAAGAGTCGAAAAAGGATGAACGGATCATATAAACCCGAAGGCAAATATAATACAAGCCCAAACGAAAAAATATAAACAAGTCTAAATTGAATATATATATATATATATATCTTTATTCTCAATGAATCATATACATAGGTATAGAGTAATATTTATGTACAATTTAACCCTATATGTATTACGTGTTCTAAACTTTTATTCTCAAGAGCTTATCTAAACATATTTCACCAAGAAGCGTGCGTTATTAGCAGTAACAATTATATATTAGGTTCTATTTTTAATGACGACTGTTCTTGTTAAATCACTGCATATGGTATTTTTGGTGGTTAATATCACTTCTGACAATATTAGTTTGAAACAAGACTAAAATGTTTCTTTCATTTTTTCTAAATGTTAATTCTGGGAAAAAAAAGATATCTTCCTGCACTGTTGTTTAATGAAATTAAGGGAATATATTTGTTACTTTTCTAGACGCGTTCAAATTAGACCTAGCATGTTCATTATACCCTTTTCTATTGTTATTGACCATAAGATGATCTAATGGTGTCTATGGATATTGTGTCTTTTTATTGCATTTTCTTTAATTGATTGAATGATGGTTGTTCTCTTGACGTTCAGTGGCAATAAAATTATGAATTTTGAGGTCTTGAAACTATTCATAATTATTACAATAGTTGGGTTCTACAAGTTGAGACGACAGGGATGAAGGACAGGAAACTGGGGTTGTCTCTAGAAAACAGCAGTACGAATAGGGGCAGACATTTTGGATTGCAACAGACCACCTATGGGCCCTTTCAAAGAGTTGTTGCAAGGACTCTTTAACTTGAAAATTAAAGGCCTCACTGTGACTCTGAGATGGATAACAGCAATAAAAGCGCTGTTCCTTTGCTTTTTGTGTTTTTCCTGTTCACATACTGATTTTGTGTCATGGATGGATACCTCATATCATTTGTTCTTCTACTAGAGAACGTGGCAGTCTCTCTACACGATGCATCAGATTTAACGTCCCCATTTTGATCGGACGTGGCCGCGTATTTATACATCCCGCACAGCCAAACGAAGTTTTCACTTTGGCAAGGATTTAACTGTCGGTTGAAAGTAGACCAATGTGACAATATCTCTATAACCAAATCAGCCTTGGGTACAGTTTCACTGACGTAAACTTCACATTTCATTTTGTGCATACTATAATTTTGATTTTGTTCACACTGAAATAATTGTTATAAACATACTGAAGCTAAACTGCGAAAAGTAAATACTCAAATGCCAATTTCTTTTTATTAATTCACGATAAACAATAAATACAACATCCCAACATGTAAACACAATGTATTCATTGTTTTCTGAAAACTTGTGTATCCTGCTGGCAGAATAAATGCAATGGTGTGCAGTTTGTTGGTATATACAATAGTTCATAGAAAGTATTATTAAACATTCACCATAAACTGTTATTACGTTTTCATTTTGTAATAAGTTTGTAATTGCATGATGACATTGTGACAGGGTTTATATGTATAAGATATATATATAATTGCATAAATATATGTTTTATTGAACTAACCATACAACAAAACCACAAGTATACGTATGTTTTATTCAGTTCTATCTATTTTAAGAAGAAAAGATCAACAAAGGATTGATGTACATGTTTTGTAGGTAGGATAGGTTCATATTTTGGATGTTTTGTATGTAGGGGGTGCCTGTCTATGTTTGCTCTAATACTTTGTGTTCCGTCGTGACAATATTTTGAAAAATTAGTGTGTCGTAATATTCATCCTATTTTTTGTACTCTTCATCTTAACTGCTTTTACATTACCTTAAAGGTAAATGTAAGGTAAAAATTGATAATTTATCACAAAAGTAAGACGGTCCTAAACATCAGATATTAGTTTTTAAGTATTTATACATCCTTGGCTTTCAAGATTTAAACGTTCCCAAGGAAGGTAAAATCCAAAAAAAGTGCGTCGAACGCATCAAATTTCAATAATTTTATTCTCATTTTAAAAGAGCGGTTTATAGTGGCAACTTCGGGAACTTGTGCACTGTTCCTGCATGGGGAGACTTTAAGTAGCTTTTACATGATAACAGATAATATGCATTTGACTAATACCATACAAAAAGACAGAATAGAAGTGACCCCTTTCCTCAATATTTCTATTGTATACATCAATATAAACTTTTAGAGGAGACAATAAGCATCAATCCTAAAAAGTCATCGGGAGATAACAAAAATTCAATATTATATATATTTTCACATTCCAAAGTTCAACCCACATTAACCTATACAAGAGTTAAATTCTTTCATGATTACACCTGATTAGAAGAGCAACAACATATAAAGTAAATGTCAATACATTCGACTTTTCATGTTCAAATATTGAAAGTGCACTTGAATGGTAATTGAAACACATTTGCAGTTTTATCCTATATAAACACAAGGGATATTACATAATTGTTGAGAAGTACTTAGTAGGTACTTAGTAACTGCGAGATAAAAGAACATATTTTGCCTTTGACTGATTTCTACGGGGCCAACCATTAAGAGCCTGGCCTTTATATATAATACAGAATATTTGAAGCGATTGCAAAAAAAAAGTATATATAACAACACTGATTTAATGATATAAAATTCAATCAGATGTCATGTATTTCTTAACACGAACACTATCAGGTTTGTTTTGTTTATAAAGTTTACAAATCGTCCACGTCCATTAATCAGTACTTCGGTATAAGCATGATCTATAATGGTGGTTTCGATTAAAAATTATCGTGCATGCATAGAAAAGGATATTTTACTAAATTGAAACATGGCTCACTTCACCCGGTAAAAGTTATTAATGATCTCGAACAGTTTTGATTGTTGTTTTTTGTATTGTTTTATTTTGATACTCTGAGTGTGATGTCTGTTGTTATAGATCATTGTCATAGACGGCCTTGTATTATTGAGGACAATTTCGTGTTCATTTATTTTTTTAAATGATCATAAACCGGACTTTGTAAACTCCAGATCAATTCTTTGAAACAATTACAATAATATTCTTCATCACTTTTGTGTGTTTGCCACAACATCATATTTTTGAGTTATGCGAAACTTTAAGAAATGTCGTTTGGTGGACAAGCTTCTATTTATACATTGCACCATTCATATATTTACAAAGATTTTAGTTAAACTATCGTTGTTAAATCCATCAATATATTTTTTTAGGGTTTTTTGTATTTTTTTCGCTAATTTTTATTTCACGTCGGTGTAACAGAGCACCAATGATATATTTTATGTGTCGCAAACTCAATCCCGCCATTCTTTCTCCGTACATAAAGTTGTAACGGATTTCAATTGTCCTGCGACATACAATGTGTGGTTCGTGGTGCTCAATCTTCAGATTATTCGTGCAAATGTTTATGGGTGTCGTTTTCATTTTGCCTTGCTTTTGTCCGTGATATTTTCTGTTCCTCGACTTTGACTATTTTAATGCACATTTGAGATCTTTTATTTTGCATAATATATTAAAAATAAAATCTTTTGTAGTCTAGATTTAAATCAAATTTACTAACAGACTATGGACTGTTCACAACATTGTGTGTTCTTGAAATAGTATTATATTTCCATTTGGTTTTATTTTAGGTTTGGATAGATTAATTTGCAGGTAGAGGCTCTTGTACTAGATTAGTCCTGTGATATGCTATGTACCTGTAAACATCAACAAGTTTAGCCCTCCATTCCACATCATGAATCTAGTCATCACGTTTGTTCACTGTTTAACACTGGGAGTCTACTTTGTGTATTATGTCTTGTTGCAATGTTGCCTGAATAAAGTTTACCCTCAAATCTCCTTTAATCTGAAGGCTTCATATAATTTATTAACAGTAATACCACAACTGCTCTCAACAATGACTTAACTGAAGAGCGAGTTTTCCCCCCATGCATAGATTACCTTAGCCATGGTACAACTTTTCAAAACTTTCTTCGATTTTTAATATTCTTCAACTTCGCATTCAAGTAGGCCTTACAACTGTTTTGTTTTGAGCACCACTGATGCGTCTTATGTAGACGAAACGGGCGTCTGTCGTACCAAAACATATTAACAAAAATACCGAACTCCAAGGTAAATTAAAAAAAGAGAAGTCCATAAAACCTGACAAAATCAATTGTTAGACTATATCAAGCGACGAAACGACGGGAAAACAATGTCATGTTCCTGGTATATGATTTCCCGAAGCGAATGATAGGTTAAACCTGGTTTTACAGCTAGCTTAACCTACCACTTGCGTTGTCAGTTTATTTTCGACTTATGAGTTTGAATGTCCCTTTGGTATCCTTCGTCTCTCTTTGTATGACAGTAGTTTATATATAGTTCCGTTATATTCTTGTATGAAAGTTGTTAATAGTTTTGTTTTATTGATAAAATTGGGAGAGCAACCAAATTATAACCCTTGTACTTTTGATGAGTCTTAACAAGTTGAAAAAAAAGTAGCTTTAATTGGCATTTTGCAGTAACACCAATGAATTGAGAGATGCAGTAAGAATTCGGATCAGTTATCTTCATTAATTTATTTTTGTATTAAAATCGCTTGTAAAACAGGGAATTGACATGTCAAATAACCCAAATACATTCATTTAATTGGCATACAGATCTAGTTCTCCTGACAGAAAACAAGCTTGTGGCTCTCATTAATATTGTTCTATATATTTAGAAACAGTACGTCGTAAATGTCAAACCATTTACAAATCATATTTACATATTGCATAGAACATTTATTCAGTCAGTGACATGAAATAAAATATTTCATTATACTTTAAATTAAATAATCGTTGTTACCAGTGGACATGTAAGGAATATCAGTTCACGGTTTGTTCGTATATGTATTCTCCCACCGAAAAGTTAACCTCCACATAGAATTTGTAAAAACGAAATGTATTCGCCTTTTAGGTAGTGTAAGACTCTTAAGATTTGCTATAGCCATTATATTTATTGCTATACGATCAATGATAATCTAATTTATCATGGCCGTAGCAAAGGGGATAAACGGGATTCGATAGAACATACTTAGATATCAAGAATATTGTTGTATAGTTGATTCGAGATAAGCATTGACATTAAATGTAAGACACTGCTGCAAATGATGATGCAATATATTGTGAAACCCCTCCCTTGCCTAAAATCTAGCCTGGTTACGGGTCTGGTGAGTAGTTCATACAGTTATATTATGGAAATCTATCGCCGCCGTTTAGCAGATTCTGCATCTCTCTGCGCCATCTCCTCTGCTCGCTTCTTCGTTATCTCTTTTATTTTAAGTACCAGTTCACTAAAAAATATAAAAAAATCATAATTGTATTTGTATTTCATTTACTAGTATGTACTCAATACATTCTACACTAAATTACTATCACTTTCTGAACAACACCACGAGAAAGGAAAATCTGATAGAAATAAACAAAACTTACAACTTATAGCTCCTCACAAATCCAAGTATTTATGCATCCTTGGCTTTCAAATTTTTGGGTTTGAGCGTACCTGAGGGAGGTTAATCCAGAAAGCGTTTTGAACGCACCAAATGTAATGTGTTATTATCAGTATGCAATTAAACTCAAACCATTAACACACAATTTGATCCATCTTCTGATTGGTTATGCCGAGCAAACATTAAAAGCATTTTCCATAAGTTTACTTCTATAAAAAGAAAGAGTCCTCAAAGCACTACATAAAAAGTAAGGACAGAGCAACACGATTCCAAAAACTGGGGGTGATCTCAGGTACTCCGGAAAAATAAGCAGATCCTGCTCCACCGGTGGCACCTGTCATGTTGATCTTGTTAAGTACAAATATATAGTCTATAAAATATCTCAACACTCTTATTATCAGTAGTGCTGAAAGAAAATGATTATAAAGGTAGAATTTAAATTATTCAATTGCCTTATTCAGATGATTTGATTTTATAGTGCACATTCAACTTTTTTGTTGTGAAGCAATGATCCCATTTTACCCTCCTTTCAAAACTAATGAACAACCTCTTCTTTTAAAAGCAAGCTTTGTATATGTGTATATGTGTATTTCGTATAATTATTGTTATTAATATGACACTGATGCATTGTAAATCTAATGTAAAAATGTATATTCTATAAGCCGTTTTGTTTTTGGATAAATTATTATTATTATTGTCACTCATATCTTTTGACTCAACTTTGAAAAAAATAGTATATAAAATTATGTGATCGTCATCTAATAGTACCGTCTACTTAAATGAATTATAAATGATGGAAGAGCAAACATCTGAGTCAAAGAAAGTGAAATCAGAGAAATCTAAAATTATTATTTTAAAATGCTAGCATAGACCAATATGCAAATCTTGAATATTTTGCTAATAAAAGTTAGCTTGTTTCCTACCAAAATAGGAATCAAAGTATTTCATTTCTAATTTCTCATCTACAAGTTTACCAACCTGAAGTCTATGTCACCGTCTCCATCGATATCTATATATTTGATTAAGTGGTCTACTTGTTCCGACGATAATGGTATACATTCATCCTACAATTTCAAATAGTTCAAATTTGAAACCTGGCTTTTTATTATTTCCATAAGAAGACATATATATTTTTTCACGGTAAGCGATAATAGAACCAGACCAATTGTAATAAAAATAGGACAAACAGTAGAAGCGTACACGAGACAATTAGTCAGCAATTGGGCAGCGACCATCATGAGTACACACATATTTTTTGCAGAGGAATAGAGAAAATTACAAAAAAAATACAGAAAATACATCGATGAATAATTTTCGGTTGAGAAAAAAACGTATATTTCAACACTTATTCAAGTTAATATATGAGTTCAAATTATTTCAAAGTTTCCCTTAGATTTTTTTCTCGGAATGACATTTCAACCTCAAAGTTATTTTTATACATTATAATTATAAATATCAATCATTCAAGAGCATGGTTGTAAACATCTATAAATAAAAGGCATAAGTAGTTTACCAAGGTTCAGAACTCGTAAATCCAATTTGGATTATACCAAAAACAATCGAAAACTCTGAGCGAATTCCAAACTGACCGAGACCGTCTACGCCAATCAGGGTAAGCGACTCATACATATATTATACATGCATCACCCGCCATGCGAATCCCGAATAAGTAAAAACAGGAAGATGATCATACATCTATCCTGGTGTCTAAAGATCTATGACCGCAAAACATGTCGAGACTCAGACATTTTATATCGGTCAACCAAACACATTTTGTTGTGTGGATTTCATTTGTTATTCCTCATAACCCGTAATAACTCAATCCGTATGATTTGAACATGAACGCATGCAATAAGATGTCAACAAAGGATATGTAACTACATCGAACACACCATAAAGTTTTATTCGCATTTTTCTTACACTTGGTCAATACAGTTGCTGGTGGACTTCTTGTCCCAGATGTTAGTTCCGTAGTCAGTGACATAATTTATAATGTACCGTTATAATTGAGTTGATAATCATTGAGATAATCAGGCAAAGTTAGTTAAGGTTGATTTGGCTATTCGTTTTATGTCCCTTTTGGTCATATGACCACTCAGGTATTCAAGTATTTCTACATCCTTGTCTTTCAATATTTGTCGCTTTGAGAAAAGCACTACGGACACAACAATTTTTCATTAACTACGAAGTTGACAATTTTGAAAACGTAACTGTATCATTTCGGGTATATCCTTTTTTGATCCCATCCATCGATATCAAATTCAGATATGAAGCAAACTTTCTGTGTTATATCCTTCATGCCTAGTTTAAATGTATGTATACGTTCCAAGCACTCACTGAACGGGATTATTGAGGGAATATGATATCTTCGGTACACTGAAACTGAATAATTTTGCCAGAACCTTCGTTTTTGTCTTTGAGATTGCTATTTGTTATGAATAAAAAAACAAGATATCTCGATGTGCCCCGTGGTTGTCTAAATGTTTGTATTGGATTTTTTTTTGAACGCTTCAGTGTGATTGTCGGGCTAAATTATGACAGTACATGTTTAATTTCTTTGCCAGATCTATTTAATTGATATAACTCCATGGCTTTGTTTTTCAATACACAGTTGTGGCGTGATCGTCATGTTTGCAAAGAATTCCATCCAAACCGGTGCTAGGGGCCGTCTTAAACTTGTTGTAAGGTTAGAGTTTTTTTGCTCCGTGTTGAAGGCCTCACTGTGACTTTGAGATGAAAAACAGCAATAAAAGCGCTGTTCCTTTGCTTTTTTTGTTTTTATTTTTTGCTTTGCATACACTGATTTTGTGTCATGGATGGATACCCCATATTCTTTCTTTTCTATTAAGATAACAGGTTCTTTTTTAGGTCAAAACAATAATCAATATATTCCCCTCTTTTTACAACTTTATAAGTTAGCTATGTTGCATTTAGATTAAATAGATGTTGCTTTTGGCATTTGATATTATTTTTTAAGTTCTTACCCGGATTCCTTGTCTAAACTCATCATAATCTACACTATTACTGCCATCCTCATCAAACCTACTGAATAGCTCAGTTACTGTCATATTACATTCTTCTAAATATTCTTTCAAACATAATAAAGCTTCTTGTCCCATGTCACCGAATCCAACCATCCTCCTCTTTCCATAGGAATCGGTATATCCATGTATTATTTCCAATTCTGGAAAAGGTTCTTTAAGCTCTGCTAGCCTTTCCTGAGATTTTCCTGTTAGCATAACATCCTGAAAATAGTAGAATTAACGTGTCGGAATGTTGATCAATTATCAGTATAAACACTGCAACCATACGTAAAAGTGAAAAGGAGGTATAGATAAAACTAAAAACTAAAAAGAAGTTGAGGGGGGTCATGAACCGTAGACCCTTTCGGATCACCTGTATTTACCACAGGTTTTGTGTCGATGTGGTGTGTTTTGCTCAAGTTTTCGATGTAGTGTTTTGTGGGTTGTTATTTTCGTCTTTTATGCTTTGGTCATAGCGGTATCGGTCTTTCTTCGATTTATGGCCATTGATTACCTCCTTGGTATCTTTTATCCCTTTTTCCTGAAGGAAACGTCAGTGTTTGTATTATTACATAGAAATAAAGGGTATGGTATGGTATACAATATAACCGTGAATATTTCTAGGTCATTATAAGGCTTTATACAAAGAGAAAAAAAACAGTAAGTTCTACTTTAAACCCCGTTCCCTCTGCATTCATTTATGACCAAATTAACGCCACTTTTCATTTGTCACGACACACCACAATTATTTACCATATCAAAAAAGAGATTGGTTGTGATTGCCAATGAGAAAAATATTCATAAATCTAGAACTAATATATTGAAAATCGTATATTTAAACTCGGGAAACTTCTTACATCTGTCAACAGCAATGGCTTCAGTTAGTTCTTGTTCGGAATTTTATTTACTAAACTACTTTTCTTTGGTAAAAGATGCATTTAAGAATAAGATGTAGAATGATAGCCAAAAGAAAACCCTTCACAAAATGACGTAGAATTTAGCATCAGTTGATATTTTGCTAACCCTTTCTGAATAAGGCGCCGATATGGTTACTGAAAACTATTTTATATGCAAGTTATGAGTTAGCTATTGTATATGTGTCTTATTAGCGAAGTTTATATATTGAGTTAGGCATCTGAAAGTAAAATAAACCAAAAAATAATATTTATCACATTTAAAATATTAAGCTAAAGCCATTCTTCAACAAGTTATCACATATTCATAAGTTTCTAGTTTCAAGTTGTACCATTAAAAAGGAATTTCTACTCACTGATAAATCTAAACATTCTAGCTTAAAGGTCGATGCATCTAGAGTCAATAGTAGCTCTACAGCTGTTTCTACTGCGCTATCAGGAATATTGTTCTTACCAATCTATAAAACATGCATTTATTAATCGTATAATATGAATTTTACATCGACGACAAAATTTCAGTTCGTTTGTAAAAAAGTATTAACAAAAAAAAACGAACTCCAAGGTAAATTCAAAATGGGGGAAGTCCATAAAATCTGACAATATCAAACTTTACACTATACATGCTATATCAGCCAACAGAACGAAGGGATAACAAATTTCCTATTCCGGATTTTGTACAGGCATTTTCTGAAGAAAATGGTAGGTTAAATAATCTTTTATAGCTAGCTAAATATCCCACTTATATGACAGTTGTTTAAAGCTCCGTTATAATGAAAAAAGAGGTGAGTAACAAAAACATACATCATTGGTTAAAGTGACAATAATTGGGATCCACGCCAACAAAAAGTTACTGAAGTTGATAGAAAATTAGACAAAGGCGCAAAAAAAAAGGTTGGTTTTGTAGTTGACAGTATGACTGAATAACATCTTGTATTATTAGTACTAAAGAAGACACTGAATATTTATCCCTTATGTCTTGGCACTTTCAGATAAATTTTTAAGAAAAAGGACGAGACGTTTTTTGTCAAAACCCTGGCTCAGGAATTTTTTTTCTCAGACACCGATGACGTCTTTCAATGTAGTAGCAGAAGATCTTGAATATTGTATATATTTAAAACAATGTATACTCCATACGCAGATTAAGTTGGTAAATTGTTGCTAAGGTAAGGAAAATTTATAATTTGAAATCGTCTCGTTTGTCATAGATTCCGGTACTGAGATGACCGCTGTAGTCAAATTCGAGGTATATGTCTAGAAATGAGGTGGAGGAAGCAGTATCTGTGGTTTCTTTAATCTCTATTTCAGGAGGATATATTAATGGAACCCAATCAGAAATGTTTGGATTATTAATGGAAAGAACATCATCAATACATCTTGATGTGAAATTAAATGATCTAACTTCTTTGATCCTCTTGTTTTCACAAGTGTCCGAAGGAACTCCGACTCATAAGAAAAGGTCGACCAGGAGAGATTGACATTTGGTTCCTATAAGAATGCCGACAACCTGCTGGAATATTCTACCTCGAAATTCAACAAATATGTTGTCCATGAGAAACTCCAACATACTAATCACTTGTTCTTTGGTATAGTATATTCTATTTTCGGGCTCTTTTTTTAACAAAGTATGCCGAATATATGTCAAAACAATAATTTGTGGCGGATGGTATCATTTTTATTTCCTTTATACGTGATTTTTTAAATGTAGTATGGAGGTGTAAAGGGGAGAAATCGAAGGATTTTGATAGAATTCATTTCAGAGAATGACCGAGATTTGAAATTTTTGGAAAGTTCTTTTTATTTCTTAAAAATTCACACAAGGTTAATGCCACTTCGCGAGTAAACAGTATCCCAGTATATCTGTAATCCCTCTTTCACTGCGGACAAATTTTTTGCTTAATATGACGTACAAATCCTTCGTATAACATGCAGATAAGCCGCCAAAGAACCTCTGTTTGTACGGAGCTTTGTAAAGTTTAGGTATCAAATACAAACAAGATTAGTCCTCAGATTTGTTGCTCATAGAAATATTCAATGAGGCCATGAAGGATTTATGGTTTGCAAAGAACCCATCCTTAGCATAATTTGATAAAAGGGATTACCCGACTATTTATTCATTCCTTGTTCTTTGATAAGACACTGGTAGTTGAAGGATTTTCAGACAAAAACAATATTGTTGTTTAAAGTGTTTTTGTCATTTGATACAATGAAAAAGATTTCAATATTAGATGCTATTTTGTTTTTCAAACGAGAATAGTTTTCCAAAATCGTATTTAAAATCGACTTATTTAAATTGAAGGGTGTGATGTTTTACCCGGTCTCCCTTCATTTGGGATTCATGCAACTCACTTAGATTTTTTGTGGGATTGAACATCGGTAAACTACGGTAGTCTTTTAGCTATATTTTGATGTGAATGTTTTACTTTGAGGTCAAAGCTCTTTACTTTATGAATATTTCATCAATGTAAGTATAACGCAACTTGCTCGGAATTACCAAATTGAAAAGAAGTTTTATACATGAACATTAAAAGAAGAGACTCTCTGAGTTGCAAACGAGTAAAATGTACCCCCTAATTGCTAAAGAGAAGACAACATCTGACAAAGTCAGCTTAGGATGACTTTGTTTTCCATTAAGCATGTTTCTTATAGAGAAACTTATATAAAAAACACAAATGATACAAAAATATGAGGACAATAAGTAAACATTAATGCACAAAAAATTCATCCCAGAACTTTTTTTTAGTTACATCGGTACTAGTTTTGAGGAAAACGTGAAAGTTAAATTTCCCCGGCATATTAGTTATCATGTGCTATCATTGCCGCAATGTTTTGAAACAGTTTACTACAATATGAGAAGCATTAAAGTTTCTAAGAATTTTGAACCGTCAGTTTCAGATAATAAAAGTTTTAATTGTATCAGGCTCAGGGTAGAAGATAAACAGGTTGTTTTTGTTTTGGAAAATGTCTGTACCAAGTCAGGAGTTTTACAGTTGTTTGCTATTCGTTCAGTTGGTTGATATAGGCTAACGTTTGATTTTGTTAGTTTTTATGGACTTACCCCTTTTTGAATTTACCTTGGAGTTCGATATTTTGTTAATACTTTTTCCCCGAAGAGGTTCTTTGGGAATTGTGTAAAACGCTTATCGATATGTTTACTCCCTGATCAAAATGAAATGAAGATCAATCCAAATTGATCACCCATCCTATAGTGTCAACACTTTGACTTGCAACTTCAAGGGAGAAGATTTTTTTATAATTGGCCATTCAAAATCAGAGATTACATCTGGTGGCCACGCTTTTCATTCGCTTCAAATCCAAATCTGGAGCTTTTTAAAAAAGACTTACAAATTCTTTGTTTTTAAAGTTACATAACTCCAAAATGACAATTTAAGCAAAAGGTAAAAAAAAAACAAAAAATACCGAACTCCAAGTGAGCCGAAAATTAAAAAAAAACTCCTTAAACACTGTCTTAAAATTAAGACGGATGGTCATCTATAATTCACATGAAAGTGTCCCGTCGACTACAAGCAATTAAGTTAAAAACACTTTTAGCATGGATTTTAAATTTCTGTTTCTAGTAGTTCAATACAGGAACCAGCATGACTTTCACAGCTGCTAGTTTTAAATTAAAAATAATAAATTTGTGATTTTTGTTCGAGTCATTTATACTAGTATATAAAAATTTGAAACATTCTCTTTTGCATATAAACAAACCTTAATTTAAATAAGAAATTCATAAAGCAAAGGTTTTACCAATCTATTTTTTGGTAAATTCATATATAAAACGTAGTTAAGGCAATGGATAACTGCTTGTTTTTAGTTTAATGTAGCTATTTGTGCATCCAGAATATTTTTTTTTCTTTTTCATTATTATTATAGTATATTATCATATGTAGTCAAGTTCTACTAATATTCATGTATTACCTTTAAAACTTCTAAAGTGTCGTTACTTTTAAGACCTTTCATAACTTTTCCAAATCCTTCCGGACCTATTCTACAACATGATATGTCTAATTCTATTAAATATTTATTATTGGCAAGAACATCACCGAATGCAGCTCCTCCATCGTCATCGTATCCGTTCCAAGACGCGTTTACTATCTTTAAGTGGTCATTTTCCTGTAAAATATAAAAACGTGGATTGTCTTACCATGTAACGCCAGACGCGCGTTTCGTCTACAAAAGACTCATCAGTGACGCTCGAATCAAAAAGTTAAAAAGGCCAAATAAAGTACGAAGTTGAAGAGCTCGGCTACAGAGGCCCCTGAATCAGTGGAAGCAAATTCATATATATTATAGTACATACCACTCATCAAGTGAGTAATTATTGGTCATTGTTTAGTCTCAAATATACCCAACATATATTTTTATTTATATACCAAAATTTGTCTATTGTAAAATAAAATCATACATATAATCATTCTTTTTTTCAATTCTTCGGTATGTTTGAAACTTACCTTCAACCCACTAGCTTTCTTTTTAGGGTATGTTTAAATCTGAACTTCAACCCACTAGCTATCTTTTTAGGGTATGTTTAAATCTGCCTTCAACCCACTAGCTATCTTTTTAGGATATGTTTAAATCTTACCTTCAACCCACTAGCTATCTTTTTAGGGTATGTTTAATCTAGCCTTCAACCCACTAGCTATCTTTTTATGGTATGTTTAAATTAAATCTTACCTTCAACCCACTAGCTATCTTTTTAGCACCAATAATTCTGAACTGGTTCCAGCTCAAATCTAACTCCTCCAATGACACATTTTCAGCTACAATTTGATAAAAAGTTTATCAAATACACGTGGTAGAAAAAAGACAATCGAATCATAAATGTCTGTTTTATTCTACATGAAACAAAATTATATACATTGTCATGCTAAATATAACCCCACTATCGGAACACAGGAAGAATGTGTCTGACAGATCCTGAAAATGCTAGCAAAACATGAAGTCATTCTGTTAAGTAGTATTGGGAAAAAGTGAAATACCAAAAACACCGAACTCCAAGGATAATCCAAAAGGAAAGTCCCTTATCAAATGGCAAAACCAAAAGCTCAAACAAATGGAAAATAACTGTCATATTCCTGACTTGGTACAGGCATTTCCTTATGTAGAAAATGGTGGATTAAACCTGGTTTTATAGCTAGTTAGACCTGTAACAATTGTTACTAAAATATCTCAGTTCATTCACATATCGAAAAATTCAAAGTATCGGAAAACAGAATGCAGGGTTAAGACACATCATTACTGTCAAGCTGATGACCACATATGCAGTCATTCTGTTCTGAAATTTCTGAGAAAAGTGTAACGAAAATATTTGCTGTACCAACGGACGAATGAACAATGTGATCGAAAGATAGACCCGACATCTAAACTGGGGGTATAATAAATTTTTAAAACTTATGTGTTCCATGAACAAATTAACTGATAATATATGTATTACTTAAGATAAATTACTAATCAGGAATTAGGTAGAGTGGTCATTAAAGTTGTAAGCAACAAAACATATAAATTAGTTGGCACCAAAATCCAATCAGTACCTCAAACTTTATTGACGACATCTCGTATGTAAATAGATTGGCACAAATGATTGAAGGGTGTTTTGGGATGAAAGGAGTTTTAAAAGTCTAAATCTACAAAGTGTGAGCTATTGAAGTCGAAAATTATCGAGAAATTGTGTTGAATCCAGTTTCAAACATGTTCTAATCCTACTGCACAACATATTTAGATCTTCCCTAGTTAGAAATAGTGAGAAATACAAACCTATCATGTGTTCAAATGAGTTCCCTGATAAATCACCAAACAAATTGTGGCTAAGATTTAAATAATGCAGGGCCATGTGTTCCTGTAAACATAAATCAAAACTCTTTGCATGAATCAAGAACAAGCAAAAGCGTTTTGTGCTCAAGTTAAGAAACAAGGTAAATATGAAATAATGTAGCAGTGTATGTTATATATTTTTTAAAATGAAGATAAGAAAACAGATTACAAAAATAAATGCAATGCCATATATTTGCAGGTTTTGGGAAACATAATTTACTCCAGTGAATTGACCGGAAATATAACTTTAATAATATCGTTCCATAACAGATAATATTGTTCATCATCGTTCAATTTTGTTATAATGATAAAGAGATGTGGCATGATTAACAATGAAATAATTAGCATCTAAAACAAGATGTAAAAATTGAATATCTACTGGTCACTCAATAGTCTTCAAAATGGCAAAAACCAATCTGCTATGAAAGGTTCAAATGAGAAAATATATAACCACTTACCTACATGTTGTTAACTTTAAACAAGAATATGAAATATTTGACAAAGTTAGCACCCATATCCTTCATTGTTAAATTGATGTATACCTCACATCGTACTGAAAAGTATAATCCATTTTTTTAAAGACTTGACATAAGATTGTTTTTCATTGGAAATTTTTTTTCGTATTAATTGTCATAAAGTCAAATTATTTGTATCTTAGTCGTTCCTTTGGCATAAGTAAAGAACTGATTAATGTTTACCTCAATCTTTTTGGTAAGGAAAGGTGCATCGAGGTCTGTAAAGCCGTTTCCTGAATCCAGAATACATAGATAAATTAGCAATTATAAAATAAAAAATACACGAACCGTTGGATAATATTCAAGAACAGAACAAAACGTGTATTGTAAATACATTGTAAATGCCAATCTTGAAGTGAAGCGTATGTCATATAAAGATAAGGCGAACTGATACTCGGGAACGTATTATTTCTATATAATATAGTACTATAAAAAAAGCGTAATAAAAAAATCCCTGCACACGCATTAAAGGTCATCAAAAGGATATTATTCAACCAGGGTTAAAAACAAATGTTGTATAACACATAAATTCTATTGTTTTCAAAGAGAATTAAGAAGATACAAATCAAGGTAAATACATAAAATGGGGGAATCGCATTAGCTCCAAAAGGAGCGAGACCTGGTGCGTCGATAGAGTAAGCGTCTCTTTCTATGCATGCATCAAGTCAAATTGTAATAATCGGGAAATTTACAGGTCAGACGACTATTCTGGTATCAAAATATCTAATACCGCGAAAACATGTCGCTAGTGAGTTGAGACACATACACATCGAATCAGCCAACCAATTCATGATGGTGATCGTAAACCCTAATATGTAGAGTCGATTTAAGTCGTACTTCCTAATATCTCTGTTGAAGCAGTTTATGTGTCAGCCTCTCAAAAGTAAGTTTTCGATTAGGAAAAACCACATTGCAAATATGCAATATTTGTTTTATTGTTCTTCTAGTGATGTGACTGAAAAAGAACAGAGTTTTGCGGTTCTAAAACCAATATTTCTATTTAACTTTAGCTGTTGTGTAAAGTTGTCAACATGGAAGTTATAAATCAACATAGTGATGATGGTTTGAGGGTTTATAGATTTCACCTATTACATGTGACAAGAGTCTTTACACACATAAACCACTAAATGTTTATTTTTTTCTGATAAAAGGAAGACAACTCTAATGCTAAAAAATCTTCCATCAACTGTAAGTAGTTTTTGATACGACGCAATTTGAGCTAATTTCATAGGCCCCCATATCAGAGGTAAAACTGGTAGTCATGAATTAGGAAAGGCTAAAAGAAATTGAAATTGTTCAAAACAACTTTCTTTAAAGTCTAGTGGTCAGGATAATAAGTTGAATTAGGTCGATTTATGAAGAAATCTGTGCATGTTGATTTGGAATATGACAACCTGTCCATTTCTCACGAATGTAGTTCTTAAAAAATACACAACTTGAATTTAAATGGTGTAGTGTTATTATTACACAAGTTCTGTAACTTAATGTAAGTAGGCTTTCGAGTTTAAATTTTAGTAAAAGTTTTGATTTATTTCAATGTAAACGGGCGTCAGAACATAGAATAAATTGCCTAAATTCTAGCCTTTATTCTTCTCCGGAAGTAGACTGACTGACCCTGTTGTCAATCAATACAAAATTTTGCAACGAAATGCCGGTCATGATGCACCAAGATTGTACCTAGAAACTTCGAAACCAATGCCTAACATGACGCAGAAGTCACAAGGTGGCTATCAAAATTATTTATTGAACAGCGCCCCATTTATTTACTATGATTTTCAATGCGTTGAAATAGGGCAAATAACTGGGTCCCCGTTCCATTTCCATATGGCAGCAAAGGGATATAACTATTTCTCAATTCACGACAATCGAAAACTATCTCTTATTTTAAGTGAGTTATGGGTATGGGAGATAAGTCTTATACTAAGGTAATGTATTACTTACGTAAAACGCGATTTAGGTAATCTTTTTTTATTATTCTGCAAGTGATTCCTGAAGACAATTGCCATCTGGTATAGAATATTAAATTAAAAAGAACAAAAATCTCGACAAATCTTGTCCAGCCTACAAACTGCTGAGTTGGTTAAAACAATGACAGGCCCCGTAGCAAATATGGTTTGACGTGGGCATGATTTTTTAAAATTGGTTTCCGATTTTCATAAAAGACCACAGCATGATAATTACCTCCTATATTTAGTTCTCTAAGAAACTTGTTGTCATGTAACATCATACCAATAGATTTAGCACCAAACGATTTCAGATTATTCTCTGAAATGTCCTTAAGAAAGAAAATGGAACTATGTTAACATAGTACTTATATATCATTTATATCATTTATTATTTTTGACAAATGTAAGTCATTAGTGCATACATACACTTTAATTTCCCGATGATAATTGATAATACACTAAAAAGATTTATGAACAACCAGCTGTTATGTTTGTTTGTTTGTTTTTTGTTGTTTTTTTTTTTTGTTGTTTTTTTTTTTTTGTGAGTTTATTTAAAGTTTTAGAATAGTAAAACGTCTACAGTTTTCCAAACGTTTGACTCTGGGCATTCCTTATGAATGCTAAACGGGAAAGGCTACGATAATCAATCCACATTCAGTGGTTTCGGCACATCAGGTTCATAACATTCTCAGTTTATGTTTAAAAATTTATAACTAAAATTAAAAGTACTTGATTTATGCAGTTATACTGTTTCCAATATATTCATGTTATTATCATTCCAAACGTTTGTTGATAAAGTTTTCTCGGAAAGTCATGTTCACAGATTGCAGTTTGAATGATGCGTTCTATTTTTATCAAGACCCAACAATCACGTCTTAAATGAATTATATAACTATATATATCTTTAATGTGCCTTATTTGATAAAAGCTACATAATATTGTTTGAAAACCTGTGATAAATTTGGGATATCATTTATCTGTATCGAGACCTGGAAATTTAAAAAGATTTTGAATTAGATCCTTCTTAATTTTAGCGTGTTTTTAATATGACATACCAATGATGTAATTGTTGTATTTTCTGACATCATTACTTGTATATAAAGCATTCCTGATTCACCTATATTATTTCCTTTTAAGTTCAATTTGGTTAAGGTAGTGTTTACCTGAAAACAAAACAAAAATATGTTAGTCGGCTACTACAGAAAATAATTCACAGTGAAAACTAATTTTCAAAAGAAGGCCGCAAGAAAATTGCTTCACTCATTTGATGTTCTGTCAAAAACCTCCAATGGTGGGTGATATTCGGACATTTAGTTTCATTCTTCCATTGTAAACTCGAAGAGTTAAACATAACAGTGGATGTGGATGGGCTTTACAGAAGAGAGAATAATAGGCAAAAAAATATAAAGAATAGAGAAAAATGGGCCAAAAATAAAGAATAGAGAATAATGAGGTGCTAAAATATAAAGAATAGAGAATAATGGGCAAAAAGAACAAAGAATAAAGAAAAGTGGCCTAAAAAATTAAAGAATACAGAAATGAAGGACCAGACCCTCATAACACAGTCCAAGACTTTCATCTAAGGACGTAAACAAATTGAGATGTGCTGATATACACGGAGTATATTAACGATATTACTGGGGTTATGGATTCTCAATTGTGTTGTGGATGTCTTCCTACGAAATTTTTTTTACAAAAAGTGTGTATACTTTGAATAATTAAAAAAAATTGTTCTTGATTGAAATGTGATTGGTATCATAACATTTAGGCAAGATGAATAGAATCCAAGGCAGAGGAAAAACGCAAACCAATACTCAAGTAGCAAATCATTAAGTATCTTTAAAATACATTGATAGGGCTGTAGTTTATATAGTTTACTCAAACAAAAGCCAGCTGACACTTTCATTACCTGTCATTGAAATATATATTTATTCTCACCAGATATTTCGTTTTATTCTCTTTAATTCTTATTTTGGATGCTTATGCTTTCTCTATGTAATACAATAACATAAAATACTCAGAACAATGACAACACTCTTTTCGTGTCAAAATGTACAAGAGATGTTTATCAATGAAAACTGTTTCCAACTTGAAATGATGTCTGTTAAGTGATGCTTTAACATTCTGAATAACTTGTTGTTACTAAATCCTAACCTGTTACAAGACATTACATAGTTCCTTTGTTCAATGTTCCGACACAAAAGCAACTGTACATAAAGTGCTACTGGTATTTAAATTAGTAAAAGCAAACGTACCGATAAATTAAACTTACCACCATTGCCATGGCAACAGCCATCGTCCCTTTACTATCTAGGCCATAATGTTTTAGATCAAGTGTTGTCTCCTTATCACTGTCCATTTTTCTGGTTATTTTTGATGATGGAACGACATCGAATTTTCGACATGCTTTTTCGTATGTTTTTGAACCCGTATTGTCATAATCTGGGTATTTAACTAAAAAAGAATATTATTCATAGTAAAGTATAACTGTTTATATATTCACGATTGAATTAGAATCTTCAAAATATTGTTGATAGATAAATCGACCTTTAGCTTTGAATCAGCCATCTTAAAAAGAAGAAAAAAATCGCAAGAAAATGTTTTTTTTAACAACAATTGGTTAATTTGATTTTTCTGCAGTTTTTACGTCTAGGATGTGTCCGGAAAATGGCTTAAGAGGCAAACACCTTTGTATCTGTCGATGAGAGTTGCTAGAAATGGTCATTTTGATTCAAGACTTAGCTTATATATAAAATAATTTGGTATGAAATGTTAAACAAATCATTTCAGATTTTTTTTTATAAACTTAATAGTAAGATTAATAACTTTTATTATTAATTGTTTTGACCGAGTGTTTGGTTATGACGCGTTCTAATATTAGATATTTTCTTTAGAAATCTCTTAAAATCTTATAAAGGTAAAATGTCAATTAGACCCTCCTTTTTACTAATATTTGTACGAGGCACTTAATTCAAAATACATGTACTGAACGTTTAAGCAAAATTAAATTTCTTTAAGTATTTGCTTAATAATCGGAAGGATAAAGAAGTCTTAATCTGAAGTGTTTCTTATGTAATTTTATATTTATAATGTTTATTAGTCATAGAAGCCTGCGACCTTTTTCTACAAAAAAAACTTGAGAGAAAAAATACTCGCAAGTCATGAACATTTCAGTATTATAACAAACGATCAATTTTTATCGTAAGATATTATTGTGAAAAGGTCTGCTGATATAAAACTTGATTGCATCTAGTTTTGCTAAATCATACTAGTTATAAAATTGACACCTGAAGCGTGAAAACAATTTCATGTAAGGCAAACATCATAAATTTTATTTTGATAATCTATATACTAGGTTTATCAATATTTGATTGTTTTTGCGTTAGTAAGTATCAATAACCTTCAATACACAAAGAATCAATAAATTATGGATCATATAATATAACTGTTAACGTTGGTCGATTTGGCGTAATCGCTCTTAATCCAAACATACATGTACTAGTTATTATAACAAAGATATATCCCAAAGTGTGGAGGCGCTGACACAAAGAGCTTTCCCTTTTCTATCGCAATTCCATGTGTTCTGCATGTTAAAGACAAGCCCGTTGATAACCAAACACCGAAACATTAGAATTTTTTCCATTATCTGTCTTCACCACACGATTCACGTTATTCCTAAACTTTGAATCAATTTACATAGTTTTATAATAATGTTAACCTATATGAACTTTTGATTCATATATATATTATATACCTTTTCCGAGATACCCTCATAGTTTTTGTGTTATAATATATTTTACCCGAAAGATCAAGTAATGTCTCTTGGTCATCTTCTATCGGTTTCTTCTCGTCAGCATCAGAATCGTCAGATAAATCTAGATCTACATCTTGGGTGGTTGTGGTAGGTCTACTCTGAAATGTCACGTTAATTAATTAAAAAATATTTCACATATAAATGAGCTTGTCGTTAAGTCTTTTCTAACATCGTAAACCAAATTTAATTCACCCTGATTCCAAGAGTCATATGAATTGTTCCTTTCACTTAAAGTATCTGTCATTCGAAAACATTTAATATAAATATCGTTTTTGTCAAACAAGTTGTGAATATATAAACAGAAACAAACTGGATACACTAAAAATAAGATATATACTGTTATACTAGGTTTCCATTGGGATGTCACCTTGTTTACATTTAAGTCGGCATTATATGTTTTTTTTTTTTTTATTTTTATTTTTTGATATTTTTTTCAAAATCTCAGAATTCGTAATAATCTTTTTGTAAAAGCAACTGCTGCAACACTGTTAAGACAAAATTCAAAATTGACTTAAATAATTGAAATAGAATTCAAATAATTTACTGAAATCACTGATCGGAACTGGATATAGCAGGAATGTTTTTTAAATTTGAAACCAGAATGATCATCAGTTATATAAGTAAACATTTCTCAACTAATGAATACTTAATTTATTGGAATTGTTTCCCCAACATTTTATTCAAAAATCTATTCAAATGTCAACAGACCAATTTATATTGTACCAGTGTTGAGATGGGCGTCTCCAGTGTATTATAGCTGTATGCAAGCAAACACGAAATAGCATACAGGTTAGGCCTGATTTAATGGATTAAAGGTTTACAGAAAATATGCTGACATGAAGTCTGCAATCAAGAAATTCAGTCAGCTTTTTTTTTCACTTGTAATGATACTAAGCAGAATTTAAAATTCTATCTAAATCTTACTTGCATCTGCCTCCTACTATTTTCCATTTGAAATATCACGTATCGTGATAAACTCCTTTTTTAACATCGTAAATGGTTTGTGATCAACTTTCAAAACGTTTGCAGTTCAACAAAATAAACGTGATTAATTTTATAAATGGAAAACTAAATAAATAATGACATTCATACTGAGGTGATTAAACCGGAAGACCAAAGAACTTCAACACGTAAAGATTTCTTAAACGCTAGGGCAAAAAGGTGATATTCTGGGGGAAAAACTAGCAGAAAGCACTTATATTTTGATCTTATCATTATCATTATCATTACATTTTATCAAATTTCCAGTACTTTTTTCTGCAAGCAAGAAAGAATAGCTTTATATTGTTTAAGGGACATAAATGAACTCCCCAAACAAGGGTGAATATATTGGGTAATTTATCAACCATTTTTTTTTCTCAATCGGGTAATATGTGCTTCTTTTTCTTATTTCAGCTCACCATTTGTTCCAAATACTGTCATTTATTGGGTTATTTGCACGATATGATCTAAGACATCCCATGAATTACTGTAACTCGGAGTGCAACTGTTTGCTGATGTAAATGTGTCTTGCATTAAGATGTTAGGCCCTTGCTGATTTAAATTGATGCGTACAATCCGACGTATAGAGTTGTGGAAATGCAACGCTATCTGTGCGTTAAACAGGGCAGTTTACTCAGCGATGTTTTTTTTTTGCCAGACTAAATTTCTGCCCCGATCCAACATACCCTCTTCTTCCAAAGGCAGTCCTAATTTGTCCAACTCCATCCTGATCGATTTAACTTGTTGTTTATTATTGTTTTAACTTCCAGAATATGCACCAAATATATACCGATGGAAGTTAATCTAACTGACAATCACCCAATCAATCAATATTAAATGTGTTTCACATGAAACAACTATTAACTTTTGGGAGGTTGTGTGTTCGGTCCCCAGTGGTCTCGAACCAAAGAACTGAAAATTTATATTTCCTGCTTGTTTAATAAGCACGCGACATTTTAATAGGACTGAGTGCAAAGACTGCTCGACTCGGAGTAAGAGTGTGTCCAAGTATAGTGGCATATCGTCTTGCGTACCGTTACCTTGTAAACAAGAATTTATATTATTCCCCTGCATGTTGATTTTGATAGCGAAATCAACATTTGATTGGTTGAAACTATCCCACGTGACGTCAAACAAAACTTTATATTCCCTTCGGAGTATCATATTCCCCTCTGAACGTCGGAACTGCCTTGTGCGACGTTACCCGCGGTTAATGTTTTAAAACGTTTTGATCGGGTTTTTTTAAGAATAGTACAGTAATTTCGTTTTTAAAGATTATTTCAAATCTAAAAACAAACAAAATGAATAGATAATTAACTTTTAATCGGTACTGATTATCATTGTGTACGTTGTGTTTAGTTATAAAAAAAAACGGATAAGAAAACACTTATGTAAGTTAATATCTTATGTTCAGAAGAAAAAAAGTATAGGCAGTGGAATAAAACATTCATTTCCCTTTGCTGAGGGAGATATGAAGATTTGTTCACCCTCGAAAAGTCATATTTCCCTCGGGCGATGCCCTCGTGAAATATATTTTTTCTTGGGTGAACAAATCTTCATATCTCCCTCAGGCGCGGGAAATAAATGTATAATATCCCATGCATGTACAGGATTGTGTGAAATTTTATAAGACGACTCATCTTGTCGTACTAGTACAAACCAGAGTTTTATATTCATATCACATTAACATGTTTTTGTCCTGAAGGTGCATGTAATATTTGCAACTATACATAAAAGCCATAAATTCATTCATCCAGCCAGTCTTGTTGATAATATCTTTCATAAAATTGCATGGAAATACAAATAAAATCATAATACTGTGAACAAATGTGTTCCCTTTTTTAAATTTGGAAAACTGGTAACTCTATATAAAAATAAGAAGATGGAGTTTGCATACGAGATAACTGTCAACCGGAGACAAAATGAATTATAGCAGTTGTCTAGTACCTAAATGAAATGGATTAACAGATAAACTCATCATAGATACCAGGTTTCAAAAAGATTTACGCCAAACAGAATACAGAAAGCTACAGAAATTTGGTTCAATATAAAAAAAATGAAAAGATGTGGTATGATTGACAATAAGACAAGTCAGCACCAGAGATCAAATGACGTCGAATTTAACAATTATTAGTCACCGTACGGCCTTCAACAATAAGCAAAACTCAAACCGGATAACAAGCTATAAAAGGCCCCGAAATGACAAATTTAAAACAATTTAAACGAGAAAACTAACAGCCTGATTTATATACAAAATAATAAACGTAAAACAAACATAATATACAACAACAAACGACAACCATGCACTGAATTACAGGCTTCTGATTTGGGACAGGGGTTAAACATGTTTGCTGGCACCAAACCCTCCCCTAACCTTAGACAGTGGTGTTACAGTAAATCATAAGAACAAACTATAAAAATCAGTTGAAAAGGGCTAACTCATCAGATCGATACTAAGCACAAAAAAACCCTTATCAAACCAAAATAGACACAAGATCTGAGAGTATTTGAAGTTACTGAAAGCTAGTTCAAAGTCAATAACAACTTATAAAAACATCATGTATCTAATACTAAAATATCAACCAGTACACATCCAACCGATGATCAAGTTGGTTAATTCGATGCAGAGGATATAGTGAAGTGATTTCGGCAAAAAATAGTATATTTTGTGTATGTAATGTGGCTAGCGCAAAAGCAAAACAATAGCGTACATTGGCCTTCTTCATACCAATGATATATTTCCAGTTACTTTATACATTCTTCTGTAACAACCAGAATTCACACGTCATAGTTCATGTTCACTAGTACTTCGAAAATCAATCCTTTCTTCCTACCGATTTATTTCACATATGAGAATTGAGAAAACAATTATTTAATTAGAATGCACACAAAATACTTGAAATGAAAGAAAGAGGATGGTTCTATATGTTTAAGACAACGAGTAAAAATATTCATTGAATTGAGTAATATTTCAACACATGACAAATGCCATGGAAGTTTTTTTTTATTTCAGAAAAAATATGGAACTATTTGTAATTCTAAAAGATTTAGCTTACCTTAAACGGTTTTGTTGTAGAAATACTTCCCGGCATTGGAAACCTATTTGATTGCGCCATAATCTCATTAATCCCAAGGTAAGAATTAAGTTGTAGTTTCAGTGAATAAAGTTTTATCCATTAAATTTCTATTCATTTTAACAATTTCAGATACAAATAAAATATCTCAACAAATATACGTAAGAAAAAGGTTTTTATCTTCTAATTGTTAATTGAGTATATAGGCAACATACATGTCAACATTTGATCTGGATAAATAAACAAATCAGAACTGTTTAAACTTTCTTTTGCACATAACCACCCTTTGTTACATAGAAATAAACCTACTTGACCAATAAAGTTCAATCGTATAAAACAAATACAAAAGGAAACTTACCAGAGTTTTTAAAGTAAAAGATTCGAGAAAGTTTTGCATTATAATGCGGTAATATCTTTAATCCTTTATGCCACCATTTTTCATTGCAGGATTAGAGTAAAGCCGATTCTTTGCAGGTCGGTGGGTTTTAGTGTTAAACGTACAGTGGAATTTATTTGCTTCAATTGAAAAATAGTCTCCCGTGTCATTGAATACATCAGAGGAACGAGAGAGGTTTATGTGATTTATCATAATTATGTATCATTTTATAATACTATAAAAGGTATCAACTGAAACCAACGTAAACACAAACTTTAACTTTCTACAAAGTAACTTTACCACGAAATCAAATATTTTCTCATAGCTGCATAGTTCTAAAGTTTGAAAAGGATATTGACAAATATTATCCCAAATTTAACCCAAAACATTAATTATAATCTAATATGATCCTTGTTTTAAGCTTGAATTTTGAATTGAAATTACTCTAACGTGACCAGTGATGCAGATAAGACCTTTATGTTGAAGACGTCTTTAAGATTCACATCAGTTAATCAATTTCAAAAGAAGTTAAATGTCTTCTTTTAAATCGGTAAATTATTTGCAATTGCATGTAACATATCTTGTTATTTAATTTTTAATGCGGATTTTCAAACATTAAATGTCGCAGTTCATGTCGCTAATAGGATCATTATGCGAGGAATAACCTTTACCCGTCTTTAGGTGCATGACAATACTCTATTGACAATGATCACTTATTGTTGTTTGTTAAACATCCAGTGGGAAATATTTCCAACAGAAAAAAACAGATTTGATATATATGGAAGACTCTGAACCGCGATGGTACTCCTAACCGCGATGGTCACGCTGAAATGCGACGGTTTGACGCTGAAGTGCGTTTTTCATCATTTCCATCACGCTGTTCAAAGTGCGATGCTGGCATTGTGACGCTATTTTGTTGATAGCTGTGCGCCAAAGTGCGTTAGTGGTAACGCTGAAGTGCGATGAATATCAATGTAGAAGTCAATTTGTTAGTTAGAAGTAGCTTTTAATTTTTTTAAAGTAAATCATCGAGAGTAAAGACCGTTTAATTTAAAACAGCCAAGATAAATAGCCATTGCATTTCCATTCCTAACTGTAACGTTGTAGTGTACTTTGTTAGCTTAAACAAAGATAAGCAGTCATTCATACACTCGTTATGACATTGATTACTATAGACGTCACATTCAAAGGTTACTTTCGATTAAAACCAGTACTAATTGTAAAGACTGAAAAACGTGGTAGTTTTTTTGAAACGCAAAGAGTCAGTAATAAGGCAGAACGAAACAAAATAGACGAATTATCTAAAATCTATTCGGCTGCTGTGAATGAGAGCCAGGAATAAGATAGATTACCGTAGATGGTTTTTAACTGCCCAATATCAACCAATTCTAAGGGTTCATGATTCTACACTGAAACGGGACGTAGGGGTATTTCGCTTCCCTATCACTATCTTAACAATATTGACAAGAGGTGAATGCTGAGTAAGTGCGACGTCACGAGAAGGAAAAGTTTATCGCATGGTTTCACTAAAAAAAGAAAAGAAGACGGGAACCACAAAAAATTTCTTTTGTCTAAATAAACTTTACACCAGCATCCTTTAAAACTGCATATTTATACGAGCCTGTAGAATGAAATTTGTTTCCCAAAATATTGCGTTATAATCTGCTATATTATATAGAAAATAACGTATATAAATTTAAACTGTAAAAATTGTGTTAAGATCCTAGAATCAATTCAAAACATACTTTACTACACGTTCAGGTCTAAAATAACTCATCAAAGATACCAGGATTAAAATTTTCTACGCCGTGACACGCGCGTTTCGTCTTCAAAAAACTCATCAGTGACCCTCCTCGAATAAAAAAAGTTGAAGAGCACTGATGACCCAAAGTTCCGAAAGGTTTTGCCAAATACAGCTAAGGTAATCTACTCCTGGGGTAGAAAATCCATAATATGTCAAAATTCAAAGTTTTGTAAATAGTTAATTTATAATTGTGACCATATCACTGATAATTCATGTCAACACAGAAGTGCTGACTATTGGGCTTGTGATACACTCGGGGAGAAAACCTCCTCAAACAGTGGCATCGACCCAGTGGTTGTTAATAAACTCATAAACATGTCTCAGTTGTAAACTTGTTTAAATTGACAATGTTTTTATGATTGTGTTAATGATCGTGTTTATCTTAGAAATTAGTGTTTTAGTCCTAAACACATTTTACAGTGTTTATAATCAAGACATGTGTACATGTAGTGTGCTTACTTGGAGCTGTGTTTAGATATTAAACATTATCCTAAAAACGTTGAAACTAAATATGTATTATAAATGTTGATTTTCTTAGCACGATGTTTACAGTGTAACATACCAAATAAGGTGTTTAGTTACATCGTTAGACAATCTTTATACATGTGTGATGGTGTGTGTGTGGGTGTTATCTTGTCTTGTAAAAGCTATAGGTCCACGAAATAATTTCCCGTCTTTTTATTTTTTATCTATTTGAAGGTTTTTTCTTTTATTTCTTTTAATTATTGTTTATTTTCGTCTTTTTTTTTTAAATTGAACGCCTTAATAAAATCATGCTTCAATTACACTTTTCCATATAGAACCCCTGCATTTAGCATGCATGTCATATCAATATGATACCATATATTATTTATATACTTCGATTAAAATGAAAATTCATATAACAGGTTATTAAAACTCCATGTGAACAATCTGTACAAATATCATACACAAATATAAAGATACTTAAAATATAATATATAAAGATCAAAATTTATTACCTTTATAGATATTTTCAACCGATAATTGACTCGTGAAGAATACTACAGAAAGATGTATTGCCAATTTCCACTGTATTTATTTCACTCACAGGATCAAATTTTAAAAAAAAATGTTAAAACCAAGGGAAGTAAATGTTAAAACCAAGGATTTTTTTAAAAATTCAATGGTCTAAATAATATTATAGGATTAAACGCCTTTTTAAAGGAATTTATTGGTGTATAAACTCGACCAATTCACTCACAAACAAATAAAAGTCCGAATAAACTACAAAAACTCTTATTATCATTCCAACGAATAACTTTGTGTTTATTATTAAGTTTAACGATTAACGTGCAGTGAAAATAATTTTGTTAATGTCGGTGTTATTATCGCCGCCATCTTGTTTACATTGGTTACGAAAAGAAGTTCGGTCAACGTCGTCTATCGAAAAATAAACAACGTCAAGATCAACTACCGGAAGTCCTCTCGACCAATCATATCAACGTATTCCCTAATATACAAATCATATAAGAATTATACTTAAATAATTTTCATACATTTCTTATAAATCTATACGAGCAAAATTGTATCAACACTACATTGTTGACGACATGCAATAATGCACATTTTAAATGCTTTTTGGAAATAAAAAAAGAATAAAATAGATTTTAAAAATGACATCTTAATGAATTTTGGCCTTGGTTAAGAATATCCGTCTAGTAAAATGTGAGATAGATACTGAAAATTAGCCGATTCTATCAAAATTGCAGTTTTCAACTGTCATAAGTCATTTGTGGCATTTATCATTTGTTCATATGATTCAAAATGCGTCTGGTCCTGAATATGCACGACTTATTTAGCAAAGAACAATCTTTCAATAAATTGTTATACACCTTTATATTTTTAGAAACCCCAAAAAGTTTTTTTTTTAAAACGACGTTCTCGCACACACACACACACGAAGCTGTGGTACTATGGATTTAAAAAAAATTGAAAGACTGCTGAAAATGGCGTGATATAAATTCACTGAGGAATGGCCCAACCTCCTTATAATTGTCCAATTGAAAGAGGATGGTGTACGCATGACAATAAAATTACAGAATCAAAATTTTTTTTTTTTCAACTGCAACAGCTTTTCTCATGAGAGATCAGGAGACATATTGCTTCTTCCAACACGAGAAAGTTTATACAGGAATAGAATAAAAACTATATTTGTAACATCGACTGGTTCCCTATTTTCTATATGTATTCCATCGGTGGTGATACTGCTGTTATTCACATTTTAACATCCTCCCATAAAACTATTTTAACCATTGCAGAATAACATTGCAGTTAAAACATGCAGAAGGTCTTTATGAGGAGGGATATCAAGCATAATACTATTATGGAATCAAGGAGTACGCTCTATCTTAATTAAGTAAGCTGCTAATTTTTAATTTTTCTGCGGATTGTTACTGCCTTTTAAGGGCATACGATACAGTTACAGGAGAGGTAATGAAGTCGCTAACGTAAAAAATTGTTAATTTTCGCGACGTCAAACTGTGACATATCGAGAAAAGATTCATTTTCCGATTGATTTTTATCATTCAGACTGATTTAACTTGAAACAGAGTTCATGGACCCCTCTTTTTAAAAATGCCATTTTGCTTGATTATGAATAAAGATTATTAATTTTGTGCCATTTTTTTTTTATGAACAAATCACCGATGATTTTTTTTTTTAAAATAAATATACAGCCAAAAATGCAGTTTTTACTAAAATCATGAAAATATGATAAAATGAATTATTTCCAAAGAATTGTTACACAAATTCGAAACACGCTTATGTAGAGAAGATATTCCAGATGTATTTTTTTTTAAATCTGCTTGCGTTTTTCTTTTAAAACAAAAAAGTTAGGTATGTCTTTCCAAACGATAGAAATGTCGAAGAAACCCAAATGTCAAGTAAATGTCTAAAATTTCTACCCCATTTATCTCTAAAAGTAGCACATGAAGATATTTTCTTTTATTACATA